CGTGGCTGCAGTGGTTGTAGTCGTCGTGGTGGCGACTTCCGCGGAGACGTTTCGGCCGTCATTGTTCACCATGCCATCGAGGTTCCAGTCGATATTGACCGCAGCGAAGTCCAAGCAGTACACGGCTGACATGGGTAAGGTGGTTTCTTGCACTCTTGTTGGTGTGCCGACACAGGAACTGTTGCTATACGTGACACGGAACACCTTGTCATACATGATCGTGAACACCGTGCCACTTCCGCTCCCATCGCCGGTGCACACATCAGTTGGAAAGAGCTCAGAGGGTTCGCCAATGTAGCGCTTCTCGAAGTTTCCTGTCGAAACGGTGTTGCAAACACCGATGAGGGGGAAATACTGGCGAGCTTCTTTGTCACCATCGCTGCGGGACTTGCATACACCTACATCCTGTCTCTCAGAGCTCATTGAGCTGCCAGAGCAATTGACATTGTTGTAGTACAAGCTCACCTGCTCTGTAGCAGTAGTCACAGTCTCACAGACAAGCTCCCGAATATGAATTGGCATTGTTCGGGCTGCAACGTAGGGGTTTGTGCAAGGCACGTGGCATTTATGGAGTCACAAACTGCAGATTTTCCGCAGGCAGAATTGTCATCACCGAAATCCACTCGCACGGATAGATTCACATCGCCGGCACCATCCACGACTCCAACGGAGACTGAAGGGTTTGCGGACGCTATCGCACCGAGACTGCCAAACATCACTAAGGCTACGGACAGCATTGTGCCCTCTGGATTCCAACCACTATCTGACTGAGCTGTAGCCAATACGCTCTTGGGTTTTTGCCAACGGCTTGGACGTTCTAGGCGAGGCTGCAGACAGGTTGATGTCGGTTCGATCTGAGAGTGAGCCTGCCTCGTGGTCTTGGAGGTTCCGCTTGTCTGAAGCATAGGTGCAAAAGAGCCTCACTTGATTGAAGCTGAACACTACTTCTACACGCGTAGTTAGGGGTATGGCTTGCATACCTGCGAAGCGAGCGCTCTCTATCCAGACCGAGCTGCATGGAGAAGATCAGGGCAGAGATAATGCATGGCACGATCGAGCTGAAGCACAGCGACTTCCCCAATGCCTGCGATCTCAGAGGTCGAGGCAGCGAAAGGTGTAGTTTGCCGTGGTGGCGCTGCTGGTCTCGCTAGAGATGTATGACCGCGAACCAATTGCTGTTCGACATCGCTGGCAGGGCTCACGCCGCGCTACTGCTACGACCACACAAGTGTGCAGAAGCTTCCTGAATTTCACTTACCCTAACTCGGGTCGGACAGCGCAGCGACGCCTCAGCATTGCGCTCGCGCATGTCGACACTCATGTCTTCCTCAGCTGTAAAACGAAACTGGGAGAATCTGCCAGGAATTCTACTCAAAGCCGACAGAGCCATCCCTCGCCAACATGACAGCCTATGCAGCACTGCGAAGAAATGATTCAGCTTCGGCGGCAATGCTTTCTGTCGTGAGCTTGTAGTGGAAAATCTTCTGCGCTGTCACCCCTGGCCAGCAAGAGGTGCCGCAACAAACACACCTGCAAGGGGTACTGCAGGATGCCGTAAGGCCCGAACCGACCAGCATGGGCCCGATCATGTTGCCACTGGTGAACACGATGGCTACCTCGAGTTCCGCACAATCTGCCGGTGCTTCGACTTCCCAAGATGCTTTGCTCTAGAGGCCCGAAGCAAGGTGCACTCGATGAGTGTCTGATTGCACTCACTGCTGGCCGTCAACACCCACTCACGCAGAGTTGGAGACCAAACCCTGCCGACTCGTTGCGTTCCAAGCGAAGGCAGATGAGAGCTGGCGTCGTGGGACGATGTCAATCCTCGGCCAGAGCCAGGACATGTGATGTCCGGAAAAGACCCCTCTGTAGAGAGTGAATGAATTATCTGGTACTCTGCCAGGATCAGGTCGTTCTACGGCTTTAACTGGCAACATTTGGTAACCCGGTCACTCTAGAAACTTGTTGTAGGGATGTTTTCCTGGGATTGGACGTCTCCGATGGCATCTCTCCACAACATGATCCGACGTAAGATTGTCTCCTCATCTCTAGAAAGACTCAGACTATGCATGTTGCAGCACCGGCCCATCCTTGCAGGTAGCTCTTCTAAAAAAAAACCTGCAGCGCACAGGCCCTCATTAGCTTCCTAGCAAACTCCGGCATGTTCATCACATTCCGCACCTGGCCTTGAGGGACGCTAGCATTGGCATCCCGTAAATCCTGGACACAACTCGCCAGCTGGGCACTGGGCTCCCAACACCACGGGGCACAGGCACCCCGCAACCTCCCAGGATGTGAAGACGCCGCTGGTGAAAAGCAGACCAGCAAAGAACGCCTGAGCAGCGCACGAGACAGGGATAGGCGAGAACAACAAAGCAAAGGGGCATGATCAAATTGTCAACGGGAGGCTGACAAGTCCTGGCTCTTGGAAACCTGTCAGCTTGCGATCGTCTGTCGGGCTGCCAACAGTGATTGCTTTGCGTCAACATGCCGAAGCCGCGCCCATGAAGATGGCATAGAGAAACGGTATGTTCACGAGCACCGAAAACATCGCAATGAAGATCCTGAGAGCACGTGGGTTGCTCATTGATGATGCTTCTTCAGCGTTTCATGGCGCGTCCTGCCATCGGTGGGTCGCCTCATGTGTGCAATGTCCCCGAGGTAGCCTCGGGTGCAAGTTGATGTCCGGGAACAGAGCTGTTGTGACTTCAGCAAAGCATTCAGTAAAGGGGCCACCCAGTGCGTTGCCAAGCCCTTCTCCGACTGTGCCTTCGTTCTCGTTCTTAAGTTGGGCGTGGCACTGGCATCGAACTGGAAACCAGCTTTCTGGCAAGAAAGCAAGACGAAAGAGCCACATTAACCGAAGCTTGGCTGCGCAGAGCGAGGATAAGACCGCCTTGGATTGATGTCACAACTCGAGACACTTCGCGCTTCTGGGCGCCTAGATGCTCTCAAGGATGACGAGCAGCACATTGCATTGGAGACACCCATGTACTGCCTGAGCGCTGCGCATTCGGCCACAAGGTGGCGGCTTACAATCGCTTGCGGAAAAGTGCTCGCGAAGATGTTGGTTTGAATTGTCTTGTCGACTCGTCAATCAGTTGTTGTATGCAGATATCACGTTGGATTCGTTTTGGACATGGGTCGACCTGTTCTAGGGGCGTCGGGCCGTTCCCAAGCTCTAGATGGGCCAGTCCATTACAAAGCAACTTTCAGAGTGCCTGAAGTGGATGTCTCCGTGTCAGAGGTTGAGGATCTGGTCATGACAGATTTCCGAACAAGACAAGACAAGGCCTGGACTCTATCAGAAAAGCCAAGCTGCAGGTACATTGTCGTGAAACTCTGCGCCGCCGAAGGGATCGTACCGAAGACACCCTGGAGGATGATCACCTTGCTAGTTTCGAGTCTTGTCAGATGTCCGCTGCCCAGCTGTGATGCTCTCAGCCGAGCCACGCAAGCATTACTAGATAGGGTCTCGGCAGATGCAGCTGCAACCGCTCGCAAAAGAAACACAGGAAGTTTTCTTTTTTCATCCGGCTTGTGTCCTCGCAGGCACAGCCATGAAATTCATGGCGTGTCGCATCCTGTTAGTTCCAAACTTCAAAGTAGTTGTGCTGCCAGCCGCATCGGTTGCTGGAAGAGCATGATGTCCCGGCACCGAAGGCCACATACGGGGAGGCGCGAGTAATCGCAATGTCAACCCCAATCGCGCATTTATCTCTAATCCCTTTAAAAATGAAACCTTCGGTGCCTCTAGTGACAACGACATCCTCGCGGATTCGGCATCGGTCAGCACATTCGCGAAACTCATAGCCGCATTCGGAGGCTTTCGGCTGCCAGTAGTTGCGACGCGCACAGCCTCCACGAACACATGCATCGTAGAGCCGGCATGTGCTGTTGAGGCTTGACATCATGCGCAACTGAGGACATCGGAAAGCAGCTGAACCCACTAACAAGCCGCGGTACTGCTGCTGCTGCTAGTGCTGGTGGTCACAGTGGTGGCGGCGGTAGTGGTAGCAGCGATAGCAGCAGAAGCGGCAGCAGCAGAAGCAGCAGCAGCAGCAGCAGAAGCAGCAGCAGTAGCAGTAGCAGTAGTAGAAGCAGTGGCAGCAGCAGCAGTAGTCGTAGCAGTAGACTGCAGCGGCAGTAGCAGCAGCTGCAGCCGTAGCGATAGCCGTCGAATTAGCAGTAGAACAGTAGAAGCAGTAGCAGCAGCAGTAGCAGCAGTAGCATCAGTAGTAGTAGCAGCAGCAGCAGCAGCAGTAGTGCTGGTCATTTTCGTCGTAGCGGCAGCAGCAGTAGCAGTTGCTATGATGTCTGAACTACTTGCTAGTTAAACTACTTGTGAATCGAAATCTTTCGCTATCACGATTAGTCTTGTCGTGTGGCGTTCTGGCTGCTTCTCCATGTGACACCATATCTGGGCGTGTTCGCGCCCCTCCTCAACCCTTGATGATGGCACAGGCCCTTGTCCAAAATGCCCTAAATCCGGCAAGCTGCTCAGATCCAGGCCTATCGGAGCCGTGAACTTCCGGCTAATTTCACGGGGCAGATCTCTTTCGAGACGGCCCTGGAGGAAAGCGCCCTCACTCAACGCCTCACCCTGACTTCTCTTTTAGGCATGGTATTTACGGTTTTTTTAGGGTTTACAGGGTTGAGGGTTTAGGAGACCCTTCCCTCCATGTTCTCCGACCCGGGTGAGCCCTGACCTGGACCAGATCAGAGCAAACCCACGGCACAGTTAGAGCCCAGAGCCATAGCTGTGAAGCGTTGGTGGCCCACGCGGACCACCTATGCTCTAGGTAAGGTAATCTTAGACAGTATGCAAATCTTCAGCCCTCAGGCACAAGCATTTTGGATGAACGGCTCATTGCGAAGTGAACTCCATCCTAAATCTAATTCTCTAAAGTTTCTCGGAGCTTTAGCAGGAGAGAGAGCAAAGTCATGCCGGAGCTTCACCGACGACACGAAGCTCGTTTCCGCTGGGAAGTCTGCCCTCTTCAGCCATGACCTGCAAGAAGTGAGAAGGAAGGCCTAAACCACCGTGCGTCGCTCATCGCTCCTCTCCTCAGAAGCCGAATGGCCTGGTGGTGGGCGGCGAGGAAGTGGGAGGCCCCGTACCTGCCAAGCTACTCGTAGCACCGAGAGAACTCGAGGTGTCATATTGAAAAAACACAGATTCCAAAGGGCACATGGATGTATTTGCCACCATTCCGCGTCGAGAAGTGGTTCTGGAACCGTTCTTGCACCTTAGGTGACCGACCTACCCCTCAAAGCTAAATCCGTCGGGGTCAACCCGGAGACAAGCACCTGTGCAGCGCTTCCCGGGTCGAGGCACATGACTGTGCTGGTGCTCCCGAATCCTGATCCAAACCTGAGATGCGAAGCAGAAGTCTTTCAACTCCATGGGAAAACTCACATCAGAACCCCTCCCCTCTGCAGCCAGAGCATCGGTCTCTGGACGAAGGATGGTTTGCGCCTGTCAGCTTTGAGAGATGTCGGGGACTACAAGAAGCCCAGGTCTCAGACCTCATGGAAGCAGTAGAGGCGGCGGTTGTCGACGGACAGCAGGGCACCCCCTGAAGGTCCAGGGGGTCCGGGCAGTTCAGGGCTTCAGGTTTCGGGCTTTTCATGTGCTCCCGGAGCCCTCTCACCTGCCTTTGCGGACCACCTCAATGATCAGCCGGTCATCCTTCAAAGGGTACTCGGGATCCCTGACGATCGCCTCAAGGAAGCGCCCAAGTCATAGCCCAAGCTTTTGGATTCTGAGCTTGAGATGTCTCTTGCACCATCGAGCGGAAAAGGGTGGGGACCGGCCCTTGAGTTCTTGGACTTGGATCTCGTTTTATCTCTTTTTTCCGCCTTTGACTCTGGGCTATGGGTTCCTTAATCACGCCCCGGATACAAGCACCACTGGGGATCTTGTGAGGGAAGTCGCACACGCAAGCATCTCGAGTGCATAACTTCCTTGTAACATTGTAATTTCGTGATGTCTGGGCAGAGACACGCTTTAGTTCTCGTCACATGCACATCCAAAGCCCGCCTCGATGAGCTGTTGGAAGGACCCCCCGTCGCGAAACTGTTTGCTGCATTCGGCCTGCTGCAACACTTCACCCCTCGCACATCTGCGGGGGCGCTCATGGCAGAAGCACTTGCCGACAAGCATACGACACCCGCTCTACCAAGAGAAATGCCCCCCACTCGGGTGGCGGGTCTGTGATGTATGGCGAGCCTGCGAGTAGAGCACCTCCTTACACTTTACCTTCCGCCAGATCACGCAGAGATAAAAATAGAAAGGACTTGCGAGCGCGCATGCACAACGTCTGAGTTAGGCACCAGGTGTTCGTAGCCATCCGTGCTGCTCAGAGCTTCGGCCCACCAAGCCTGGCTAAGCAAGGTGGGAGAACAAGCGTTTAAAGTTCACGCATCGTGGCGCATGAGTTCAGGAAGCTGAGAGCCAGTTGTCCTTCAGTCTGGCTTTGAGCGAAATTCTGATGTTATCTGCACACTTGGTCCTTTACGCAGGGCCGCGGGAAGCAGGACTTGTGATTCGGGTTTGGGCACTCCAGCTAGACATCCAGACATGCGGCCCCGAGCCGCCTCCGCCGCAACTTGCGCCGGAATGCGCATAGAAGGATCCTCATAAAGCATCCGCTCTACCTCGGTGGCCGGTTACAATATATGTGTACATATTATATATATATATATATATGTATGTATGTATGTATGTATGTATATTTATATATTTATCTATTTATATTTATGTTTATATTTATACTTATATTTATAGTTATATAATATGTATATATTATATGTATATATTATTACAATATAACATAATATAGTATATTATAGTATACTATATTTCGTATATTATATACAGACTGGGCTCCCAAGTCCGCCCTCAGCTTCTGGCCCGGGAGGGCCCGTAAAAACCCAGGCCCAGCGGCAAAGTTCTTGAGCTCCTTGCGCTCGGTTGGCCTCAAAAGCTGGCGACGCATATGAGACTTTTTCAATGAGGGAGGGGGCCCTGGACTTAGTGACTTGGCCGGTTTGCGCGGGATGTTTCAGGGCTCCTGCTGTTCTTCGACTCGAGGGCTCGCACTCTGTGCGATGGAACTGCGACTCAAGCCACATCTATCAGAGTTAGGACAAACTACGAGAGCGTATTTTCTCGTTGTATGTTTTCATGCGGATTCACACGTCAGCATCTTCGTGATAATGTGCCACTTGACATCGTCTCACAGTTTGTCGCGACATGAGCCCACTCAACGTGAGCACGGATACAGGCAACAGCTTTTGCTTCAGGAGGTGTGCACGAGTCACGAAACCAATGAATCCCCACTCCACTCGCAACTTTTAACCCATTCAAAACATCTCGCCCTCTCGAAACTCTTCTGTACTACTTGGCAAGAAAGACGCCTCGGATTGCAGCTTTACGGGATCCCGGTAGCCGGGCGGCTCCGCAGTGCGCTCCGAGGCCTGGAGGATCTCCGCGCAAAAGATGGGGGCAAAGGCCGCCCAGAGGCAAAAGCGTGCAAAGGCGCTAAGAATGGGCCGCGCTGGGCCGCAAGAAGAGGAGGCCTTTAGCTCGCTTCTCAGGGCTTGGTGGCGACGAAGATGTGCCATTTCAGGTCGCCCGCCAAGGCCGCGTCCTTCTCCAGGCTCCAGGTCTCCCGAGCCCAATCGTAGTCGAGCTTCTGGGCCTCCACCGAGGACTCTAAGGCAGCCTTGTGGAGCTCCACCTTCTCCATGGCTGCGCTGCAGGCCTGGGCCGCGACCTCCTCCGGAAGCTCCGAGAGAGTCTCCTTGAGGCGACCCTCCAAGCGACCACTTAGCAAGGCCGAGAGCTCCTCCGGGGGCCCCCAAGTGCCCGGGCCCAGCTTCGCCTCGATCTGCTGCAAGCCCTCGTCCATGTAGGAAACGAAGTCCTGGCTAAGATCCTCGCTCTCCACTTCAAAGTAATGTCCCATCAGCTCCTCGAGTTGAGCAGCTGGGAGGAGTTCGTAATGCCAGCGGTGGATGTGCTCTTTGAAAATCTCGGACATCTCTTCCCGTGGCTTGCCTGCGCAGTAGTCCACCACAACCAGTCGCCCACCGGGCCGCAGAAGTCGCGCAACCTTTCGCAGAATGACAGCTTTGTCCTGCTTGTCAAGGTACATCAACGTCTCCCGCAGCACGGCGACATCGAAGGCATTGGGTGGGTATCTCATTTCGTGTTCCGGCACACCGGATTCGGGAGTCAAATCGAAGGTGACACACTTGCGCACATTCTCGGGCGCCTGCGGCAGTCTTCCTGCGTTCACACTGGCCAACTCACTGCTCCAATTCACGGCATGGACGTAGATGCCAGGCCTCTGTTGTGTCAGGAAGTAGGCCGTACCAGCTGCACCAGCTCCGATGTCCAAGCAGCGAGCTCCGGGTTGAAGGTGGCCTCCGCAAAGCTTCATGATCTTCTCAGAGATGCGGTCATCACCGGTGTAGATATAGCCCCGGCCGTAGATCTTCTCGTAGCGAAGAATCTTCGCGGGCGAGTACTGTCCCGTCTGAAGCGTCATCAGGTGACGGTCAGACTGCACGCCCACCTTCTGCCATCGGAACCAGAACTGGTGCATGTTGCCCTTGAGCTGGGCATAGCTTTCCACAAAGTTTGTGCCACAAAGCTGGAAGCGCATGCCATCGATGCTGGCATCGCTGAAAAACTGTGAGTACTGCTCCGGTGTTCGGTATTTTGTCGGGTTGAAGCGGCGTGCCGTGTTGCCAGAGGCATGAAAGCAAGACTCGCGCAAGAAGATGTGACCACCGGGGCGGAGCCAGGTCAAGATATTCTTGGCCAACTCCTGGCATTCCTCGTCAGTGAGGTACATAAAGAGCCAGTTCGAGAAGACCAAATCAAAGGAGCCTGGAGCCATAGTCAACGACGTAACGTCTGCCTGAAGGACCTCCAAGTTCAGCTTGTCTGCGTTGGCCCGTTTGTTCTCCTCACAGGAGCTGTGGACAAAGTCCACTGCTACAACGCGCTCAGCCTTGCCGGCCAGGATGCCACTGAATCGGCCAATCCCTGCCCCAAGCTCCAGAACACTTTTGCCCTGAAGGCTTGGCATGTGGGAGAGAATCTCTGGCCGCTCCAGTTTGTCGATGAAAGCAGCATCCGAATCAAGCATCATGTTCTCCAGGGTGGCCGCGGAATGGTCGCTGGCCCAGTACTCCGTAAAGTCCGCACGCTCCTTGTCCTGTTTCTTCAAGCCCGACAGCTCCCTCTGTGATTTCAGGTCCCGGAAACAACTGCGCCATTCGATGCTTTTGTAGAGGTGTGTCAACTCCTCTCCTTTCTCAATGTCACGAAGGGCGTAGATTTCAAAACGGTCCTGGTCAAAATGGCGAACGACCTCCGTGTTTTCGGACCCGCTCAGGGACGCATTGTAAAAGACGGAGCAGCCGCTGCCGCTGGCCCATACAGATTTGTCCTCACTCCAAGTGAAGACGAAGGGGCTAACATTCCCATCTACGGGCAGTCGGCGAACGATGCCCCGCTCCACAAGCTCACCACGCTGCATTGGCACAGCTGCAAAGACTCCGGCTCCACCATGCCCATCTGGACGAACCTCGACCTTTGAACAGTCGACTAGGTTCTCCTGGCTTGCAACCAGGGCCTCAGCAGCGGCCTCCGAAGAGTTCGCCGGCTGCCGCAGGTCCTGAAAGCAGGCCCTCCACTCCATGCTCTTGTAGAGATGCGTGAGCTCCTCGTGTGGTTGCAGGTCACGCAAAGCATAGATTTCGAAACGGTCCTCCTCGAAGAACCTCTTCATCTCTGTTGTCTCGTTGCCGTCGAGCGAGGCATTGTAGAACACGGAACACCCACTGCCGCTGGCCCACACGGTCTTGTCTTCGCTCCAGGTGAAAACATACGGACAATGGTTCCCATCCACGGGCAAGCGCCGAACGATGCCGCGCTCCACCAGTTCGCCCTTTCTGATGGGCACGGCCGCATAACTGCCGGCTCCGCCAAAGCGATCCGATTTCACGTAGACCTTGGAGCAGTCAACCAGGTAGCATCGCGTGCTGCTCTTGATCAGCCAATGACTTCGCCTGAATAAACTGGCCGCTGCACGATGCGGGAACATCCTTCACCAGTCTTGAGCCCCACTGACGAAAACGGCAGAACCCGTCGACAAGCCTCAAGCTGAAGGGCACTCGTCATTCATCACCACACCTGTTTAGCAATCGTACTAAGGTACTCCGCCTTGAACTCAGATCCTTTGGCAGCACAGAGTCCTCCCCCGTCTGTTTTCTAGCCCAGGCCTCGTCTCTGGCACAGCGCCAAGGACATCCTCGATGGACCGTCCCAGCCTTGCACTCCCAGCAATGCTCCACGTTGCTAAGCTGAGGATCCCATCGGCTTAGGATTCGGACTTGGGGTCGTTACAGTTCAATATTGCCGTACCTCCTGAATGGATATGCATCTCACGATGTTCTTTCCAAAGGGGAAACCATCGTGACCCAATATCAACAGCGAAGCCATGTCACAAAGTCCCAAAAACATGCACTTGAAGTCACGCGTAGACAAATGCATGAGATAGCAGGAGGGAGAGAGAGAGAGAGAGAGAGGTTTTCGCTGTCGTGCTGTACTTTTTATGGATGTACGGTTGTGTATATATATATATACACACATATACATATACATATACACATACACATACACATACACATACACATACACATACACATACACATACACATACATATACAGATACATATACATATACATATACATATACATATACACACACATAGCTAGTTTTCCTTGTTTAAGCTTGCAGCCTTATTGGTGCTGATGGTAAAGACCTCGTAAGGGCTTCGTATGGGTTCCCCTGCCACGGTTTCGGAAGAAAGGTGATTCAACAGCGAATGTTCAACTCGGGTTGTTGGAGCTTTTGAGTTCTTGGAGATGCCCGCCAAGCTACGGCGCATGTATGTATACTATATAGTTACACGTTCACAGACTGCGTCATGAAAAAGTATGAGAGTATGTATGTGCATACGCATGCACGTAAGTGATTTAGGTGGGTAGGCAAGTAGGTAAGCAGGCAGGGCATGCACGAATGCATGTACACAGACTGATGAAGGAATTTCAATGCTTCAGCTGAACCTGTGTCAGTGAACACGGTCTCCGGTCAAACAGAAAATGTCTTTGTGCTTCTTGTCCTGCTCTACGGCATGGACGAGCACATCCTTGACACTCACATACAGACATAGAGAAGCCTCCCGGTCTCTATCGGCCGGGTAATTGCAGCCAGAGGGGCGCAAAAACGTCTGCTTCCATGGTTTTGGACCTGAAAGGGTCCTGTAGAACCGGTGCAGCTTTCAAGCTCTGAAGAAGCTCGGTCCGTGAATGTCAAGCACAGATACTTCGGCAGTCTCCTTGACGAGCTCCGGCGCCAAATAGCCAGGAGTGTGCAAGCCTCGCCCCGTGGTCTTGGCTGCCGTTGTGGTCCCACGATTCTGGTCTTTGGCCGTCTCCTCAGCTAGCTTCCCCGTGCTCGTGCTGTAGTTTCAATGCCGGTCTTACAGCTTCTGGCTTCTGCGGGCAAAGAATGCCATTTCTCCAAATCGCACGTACCGCGAACCCAAGGGCTGTGAGTAACCGCTGCTATTGAGGGCGGCAAGAAAATCAACCTGCAAAAACTCGCAAAAGCTCACGACGATACAATGCATCTGACTCGCACTGTGTGTGTCTTTATTCACCGTTCCTGCTGCTCAGGCCACTCAATGCCATCAAGCTGCGAAGTCGCAAAGACACGGGGCCTTCTGCAACTTGTCCCAAAGCCAGTTGGAGGGCTTCAAGTCACCATGGACCACACGGTGGGCGTGGATGTGCGCCTTGCATGCAAAGGAATCCTCAAACTCAAGCGCAGCACTCCTACATAGAAGAGCTGTGCAAAGCCACAGAAACAACAACAACAACAACTACAACTACAACTACAACTACAACTACAACTACAACTACAACTACAACTACCACCACTACCACCACCACCACCACCACCACTACTACTATCACAATGTACTAGTACTACTACCACTACCACCGCTACTCCACCACTACCCACCGACTACCCCACGATTACCACTACTACCGCTAGTAGTGGTAGTGGTGGCAGTAGTTGTGGTGGTGGTAGTAGTGGTAGTAGTGGTAGTAGTGGTAGTAGTGGTAGTAGTGGTAGTAGTGGTAGCAGTGGTAGTAGTGGCAGAAGTGGCAGAAGTGGCAGAAGTGGTAGTAGTGGTAGTGGTAGTAGTAGTAGTAGTAGTAGCAGTAGCAGTGGTAGTAGTGGGTAGTAGTAGTAGTAGTAGTAGTAGCAGTAGCAGTAGCAGTAGCAGTAGCAGTAGCAGCAGCAGCAGCAGCAGTAGTAGCAGCAGTAGCAGTGGCAGTAGTAGTAGTAGTAGTAGTAGTAGTAGCAGCAGCAGCAGCAGCAGCAGTGGTAGTTGTGCTTGTCGTGCTGCTCGTGCTAGTCGCGCTAGTACGCTAGTAGTGGTAGTCGTGGGAATGGCACCACGACGACGACTTCTACTTACCACTAGCCATCGTATGAGAAAAGGCGCCACGGACTGCGTCATGGTGTGTGCGATCCTGCATGGCATCCTGAGATCGCTCCACTGGTGCAGGCGAGAATTGAGGCTGTCGGTCTAGATAGGGCTCTTAAGTTGCAGGTGTCGTAGTTAGCTTTTTTTTCGCCTGGACAGTCCAGGCGAGGCTTCCAGCAACAAGAAGGGTCAAGGGTAGCGTTCGTTTAATCGGCTCTTGTCCGACTTGCCGGGCATACTGGTCGAGCCATGTCGAGCATCTTACCCCACTTAGGAGTCTAGGACAAGGTCACAAAGAAGCTTACGAAAAAGAATAGCTGCACCTGTTTCCATCAGGGATACACCGAAGGTAACCCTTCTGATTCTGGCGGACAACCCGGAATGCTGCCGAGCATCCGATCATCGACCAAACCGGCCTCTGCTGGCTCACCGAAGTTATGGGGCACGCGGCGAGGTCTCTTCAACCTGGTGCTAAGCTACGGGACATGGTACCGTTTCATGTGAAGTCTGCCCCACTGACCTGTTTCCGAGCTCTCAGGGGCTTGACTGGATATGTTGAAAGCTATGGCATTGCATCGTCTTGGGCAAACAATCATTCAATGCTGCAACGTCTGAGTTCATCAGAGGCCGTGCACCGGCTAGGACCCGGAGGTCGGCGCGGGGTCGTACTGAAGCCCTGAACTTGCTTGCGTAGAGTTCAAGCAAAAACGTCAACAGGAAAGCGGAGCATGTGTTAAACCTTTTACGAGCACCGGTCCCGAAGGCATGGAGCATCGTGCTCCTGGTGTGCGTCGAGTTGCTGCTCGAGAAACTCTGCCAGATTGCAGGTGTAGCGGTCGAACTGAAGGAAGCCACGATGGTCCTGGGCCCAGGGAAATGCAGGCATAAGGTTTTGGCACTATGTATAACTATGTACATAATCGACCAGGAGCACAGACACGAGCAGCGATACGAGATCATGACCCACCCAGGCCCTTTGGCACTTTGGGCATACAGCCATATGCATGCCTCCCGCTCATTTTATGACAGGGGTGTGCCATTACAGTTATGATCCCCGTGTCCAATGCTCTACCAAGATCTACTTCCTTTTGACAGTCTTGACAAATGCTCTTTATGCAACCTTGCTCTATGCTGCGTTATGACTCATGTGATCGATCCGTCTCGGAGGATGCGTAGGTGGACGATGCCGGCGTGCTTTGCGACATGCCGAATGTGCGGCATTGAGGCGGGGCTCTGTTACCGGTTCCTGCGAGAGGTTTCGGGGCGTTTCTTCTCTTTCCGGCAGGGATCATCAAGATCCAGGAAAGCTCGGCGAAGTGGCACAATCAAGGGATGCCGCAGCCTCACATTTACTTGGGCACGTGAGCAACACAAGCATGGCCGGTACTCGGCGGATCCGGCCTAGTGTGGAGCATGACCTCTTGGACAAAGCCGGGAAGTCCGCGGCAGGAATGCAAGTCAAAGACTTTGATCACGCATGGCGTGTGCTCCAGCCTCAGATGGTCTCACATGCCCGCACTGCGCGGGTGAAAGAAGGGCCCAGCCAGGATCTGCCACCCTTACGCCATGCAAAGGAGGTGCGACATCTCGTAGATCGCATGCCGGCCTGTGGAGGCCCAGTCTGTGCTCTTGAAACATGCTGAACGCGGCCTAACCATGAACCCCTTGATTCCGTGAGCATGTGCATTCAGCTAGGGCTAGGGCCATAAGCCGATGGCCGCATGCTCAATTCAAGCTACAGCAAGGCTTAACTACCAGACAAACCAAACCCCACCCCCTCGGCCTCCCTCACTTGAGAGGCGGGTGGCCTTCGACAGCTGCTCTGGGTCCTTGCAAAACTCCAAAACTTAAGTTTAGGCGGAGCAGCACCTGGGTCCCCGAATGCCCCAGTCGCAACCGAGCTTCGTAGTGTGAAAGGCTGATGTTCTCGTCCAGTACCTGCCTCACTTCTGCCTGATCTGCTGGCTTCCTCAGCACGCACTTCCCGAATCGACCCCACGCCTAGATCCTAGATTCTGGATTTTCGTAGACTCGCCGTGGGAACCTGAAAAGAAAAGGGAAACTGCACTCTGAGAAGTCGTTGGGCTGAGCCAAGGATCAGCTTCTTCAGCTCGGCCTGGATGGTCTTGTCCTGTGTTGCTTCGGAGATCCGTCCGATGGTCCCACATCCACCGACCCATTGCAGCTACGGTGCTGTGTGCTGTCCGAGTTCCGGCAGCAGCCTTGGGTCTGAATCTCTGGCGCATGGGCCTAGCCTTCTGTCTCCGGCAAGAGCTCATGCTAGTGGGCTCGAAATCTAGGAGCCTATGCCTTTTTGTTGGAGGCAGGGCTCTCCGGCAGACTGGTCGAGGCCACCCGGCACAGGCTCGCCATACTCTCGAAGTAGGCACGTGTCCTTGGGAGCAGGCGAAGCAGGCCGGGGGGGGGGGGGGGGGNNGGGGGGGGGGGGGGGGGGGGTTCAAAGCGGGGCCAAGAGTCTCCTGCTTCTCCTCCATCCGTGCTTGATCACGACGCTCTTCCTTCTTCGCCAGATCGGCGTCTTGCAGCTCTCTGGCATTCTGCCATTCCTGGCTGAAATCCCCAAGCTTCGGGCGGGCAAGCACCACTCACTGCGCAAAGATGTTGTTTTCGCTGCCAAGGTGCGGCATCTGCAATACGTTTGGCATTCCTTACAGTGATGACCTCGGGACTCTGGTAGAGGGGTATTACCAACGAGTCAAGACTGCTGTCCCTTGGCCTTCGTTCTTAGCGTGCGAATAGGGTGTAACTCAGCAGAAGGACTGGAAAGAGCAGAACTTGAATTGAAAGATTTTGCAATCGTGAATTGCACCAATTTCGCAGCTCGGCAAATCTCAGAAAGCATCTGCAGTGGCCACGACGGCTATTGGTGAGCAAGCTGCGGATGGGCACGGCAGAAGAGAAGCAGCAGCTTCTTGCAAACATGAACTTGTTATCTGCTATTCCCTAAGTCTGCTTGCGAATCACTAGGACTCCAGGCACTTTAGGAGGAGCATCATCATAGATGATAGATGGGTCAGATACGCCCGGTAGGAAATGATAGGTCGACTTCTCGCCAGGGAGCTTTGGTACGTTGCGCTGCGAGGCTCTGCAACTCCTTCTTCACATCCACCCTGGCACATAAGTTGCAAAAAGGACTCATAGCAAGTGAAGGTGTCCGCTACGCGTTGGCATCAGTGCCCCAAATCATCTCCCATCTTGAGCATGTTCATGCCGCAGAGTGGAGACCGTTAACTTCGGGCACGAAGATGCGTGGATTGAGACTTTTTGCCGGGATTTTGGGTGACTCATTCCAACCTGACTTAGGCTTGTGGTAGAAAGCCATTGAGCTGCTCGTCGGGAAAACTTTCTCTTGTAAAGATAGGTGGCCGCCCGGATTTTCACGAAGAATTTGGTACAATTGCCATCTACTTCCAGTTCCATGGCACTGCAAGCAGCCTGGAAGCCTCTTCCAGCTGGTTGCGCCTCTGCCTGTGCAGCTTTCAAGCTCCCTGCCATCTGAAGACCCGTCATGCTCCCTTCGGAAAACGCGTACACTTGCAAGCATACTAGTTCTGTCTGCATTTGCTATAACAAGGCACACATACACACAAGTCCCAAGACATGCACAGAGTAGCATCAAACCGTTTGCTGACTATGCTCGCTCCTGCTTGCTCATGCAATCGAACTCGCACTGTCTCTACATCTACCTAACCAGCTACCTGCACGCGTGCGATTACATTGGATATGCATGAGTACACATGTGAAGGTTTAACTCATACAGTCCGGACCTAGTCCATGCCAGAACACAAGTAGCGGTAAATCTCACAAGTTGCCTGATGTTTGCACAAAACCACTGGTGTCTGACTTTGAGTGGGTATGCTCAGTGTCTCAAATCGGGAGGTGGGTCTTGCATCGGCCATACAGGTGTACCTGCTTCTTTTCTTGAGATGGCGTGAGGTAAGCGCAAGACAAAACCTCAAGGTGAAGCAGTCATCGCTGTATATTGCTGAAACATGCTTTTCCAGCCTTCCCTCAGCATCTACTGTACTCCGACCACGCCACATGCAGCCTTTGTGATTGCTCGCCCGTGCCTTGCGATCCCGGCACGCTCCTGCCTCGAAGGACCTCCCAAGCTTTTCGAAGCTCACGATGAGCAAGAGTAAAGATACTGTTCCGGACTCTTTGATTGGTTGCTCGAGCTACGCGTAGTTGTTTTGCGTCCTGCGTTGCTGAGCGAATCACTCGTTTCCCTTGGTTTTTGCTCCCCGGCATGTGGCAAAACATTGAGTTTCGACTCTCGACTCTGAGTCTCAATAAGGGTGCACAAGCCTGCGGGAGTTTCAAAACCCAGGCAGAGCCTCCGTACCAGTCGAAAGACTTTGCAGAGGATCGGATTGATTGCTCCTGGTAATCCTGAGCTGCTCTCTTGGTATCGCGGCTCGACTCCTACTGACCTTGTAGGGGCCTTGGCAATTCAATGCGCTGGTCGCGCGCTCTGGGGAGGTACGGTAGTGTCTCGCGGTCCCCGAGCCATTGCGGGGCCGTCGGCCGCAGGGCTTCCGAGTTCTGAAGGGGGCGAGGTGACAAGCTCGGCCTAAAAACCGATCGCCTTCCCGACTGCTCTAGCTTCTTCTGTTCACAGCAAGTCTCGCGCACCATTTCCAGAGCCTTCTGGCGCAGGCCGTTGCCTCAAGCTGGAGAAGTTGCGAAAGTGGAAGGATTGTTCAACTAGAGCCGAAGCTTACACGCTGAGGTTGCATTGTTGTTTTGTATCGAACCCTGGCGAACGTGAGCGCTGAAGAGAAACAAAGAGTGAGACACAGTTGCTTCAGCTGAGCTGCGGCGTGCCACGGTCTCTTCCTGGCAAGCCCCTTGCTGATGCAACTCTTGCTTCAGCTCCTGCTGCACCTGAAGAAACAAAGTCAAGCAAAGACGTTGGACGCCGAATGCAAAAGCCAAAAAAAGGTTTCGGCCGGGGCCGGCCCTCGAGAGACATGAACTATCCAGCATGCAGATCACCTCGCCCAATGCAACTCTCATGCACTTGGAATTGACTCAATGGCAGAACAAGCTGCAGACTCCAGGCCATCCCAGATCTGCTGTAGCTCTTCCCTCCGAGACACAGATTTTGCTTCAGATTTCGTTTGGGGACATCAACTGTGCAAAGGAATCCAGGCTCTGCTCCACACACAAAAAATCCATGGCGGTTCTGTGGCCACTGTGTGCGGTGCAAGCTGCCACGTCTCGTCCGCCAGCTTCCACTCCTGGCAGCCCAGACATTTGGGGGGCCAGGTTCACGCACAGATAGACGCTAATATAGTACCCTAAATAGTAGGATCCTTATTACAAGGACCCCAAAACCCCCAAAATAAAGGCACCCCTCATTTCACCGGCCTTGTCCAGGTGCTTGGCGGAAGCGAAGGCCGGATGCCAGCCCGAGTCCGGCTCGGCGAAGCGGCTGCAGAGCGGACTCCTTCGGAGCTCTCGGAGCTCTCGGAGCTTTCGGCTTTTTTTTCTGGACTCTCGCAACTCGGGGGCTTGCGAGGGTGAAGTAGTGTTCTAGAGGCTACAGGTGGCCCATCTAAGCGCACCCAAGCCTGCATGAGAATCGCTAAGCTTCTTGCGCGTCTAGCCCGCAGCCTTTCACATCCAGTCTATCCCAATCCAAATTCAGCAGAGAGGAGGCCCAACACTGGGGCTCCATTCCCCTCTCTCGGCGAGAGTGATCCAGCCATCGCAGATCGGTGCGCGCAGCACCTCACGAGACGCGGACACAGGAGAGATACAAAGACTCCAAGTCAAAAGACCGCAGGTTTGAGCAGGGCATCTTCGGCCAAGCGAGCTTCTGAGAACTCGATGCTCGCTCCCATTTCGTGAGGGATGTTGCTGCTCACGGAATGTCGGGTGGTTCATGTTTCCAGGAATCCCTCAAGTGCACCTCGAAGGACTCCAGGAGGATCACAACAGGCTCACCGACCACCTGCACGCTGCCTTCCAGAGACTTTCCCTTCCATTTCCAACTCTGGGGCTTTGCTTTGAACCAGAATCTTGGCAATCTGGGGCTCAGATGAATCTCTCAAAGCTCGCTCGGTTTGGCTGGTAGGATTGTGCAGATCGCCACCAGTGGAGCCTACCCTCAGCCCCCAAGTGTGATCTCTTCCAGGATCGGCCCTCCGAAATCGGACACGGAACCTTCGAAGTTCGTCTTGGTTTCAGGTGCCGACGGGTCTACGCCACTGGAGACCTCCGTCAGATGTCAGGGGAATCATACCTGCCTGAATTAGACATGCAACGTGCGACTTCAGGTCTGCGTTGGAAGTTTGGATCTTGCTTGACGCTCTCCGCCCTGCCACGGCTTCTTCTGGCCTTGCTCCCTCGCCTGTTTTGTGGTGGCCCTATACTACCTCCTGCTATGTTCACAACCCTACATGCACTGTACATCCAAGTGGCAGGGATGCCCTCATTCAGCTTCTTCTTGCGAAACGTGCATGGCTCCGCCAAGCGCGCCTCCAGTGATCGCTTCAGTTCGCGGTTACAGCCACTGGCATCTCGTGCTGCGGACTCAGTCTTTGTCGGTTTTCCTACTCGCAGGCTTCGACTCTTCGACTCGATCAGGATCTCACCCTCCTTCGTACCCACAAATCCCAGCGCCTGCAGCTTGAAAGTCGCGCTGGGCTCCATTTCTGACTCCGGCTCGCCCTCTGAAGTCCTACCTCAGTTGCCCATGTCAATCTGGCATGTTGACTAATGATGTTTGGTGGGCAAGGTGGATGGTATCCGAAGCGCGGTATTGCCAGTGCAGCCGACTTGACTCGGTGGAGAAAACTTCGGCGCTTCCTCCGCAGGCCGACCTCACAAATAGTCCACCCAAAGCCCCACCAAGGGCATGACTCCCTAGAAATGCCCCGAAGTCCGACAGTGAGTTACGGCTGTCCAAGGCGCTTGGAGGTGCCTTGGGCGGCTTCGGAACTGGCTCCGGCTCTGGTGCAGCATCGGGGGCGAGCTCCCGCAGGCAGCGCTGGCCGTGGTGCGTCTTTTTCTTGTACCCCTCCTGAGGCGATGCGGAAGTCAGGCAACACCGTTAAAGGTGCACCCAATATCGAGCCCGCTCCTGCAGCCACTTGCGGCAGGCCTTGCAGCAGTAGCCTCGAAAGTGAGCGATATTCTGCAGCTGGCAGAGGCCTCTTGGTAAATCGAGTGGCCTTCGAACTCGTCCATCTCTGGATGAGCCAGATAGCTGCCTCGAGCTCCAGCTGACTTCAAGGAGGGCTCACCAAGCAGAAACCAGTGGACCTAACCCTGGACGCAGCTGAGTCGCAGTGCTCGTTGCGGCATCGCGGTCCTCGGTTGCAGCGTCGGCAAAGAACTGTAGATTTCCGTGGTGCGGAAAAAATACAGGAGCTAGGCCACCTTCGAAAAAAAAGGGACTCCGAAACTTCGGTCCCAAAGTCTTAGAGGCGCGGGCGGAGGCTTCGCCTTGGGCCGCGGCGGCGGCTTCGCGCTAAGGTCCGGCGGCGGCTTCGGCCTCGGGGCCGCCACGGGCGGCGGGGCCTTGGCCTTGAACTTTGGCCGCTCTTCGTCTCCCGGAACTTGGCGTCCTTGGCTTCGGCTTCCCTTTTTTGAAGGCCGGGACCAAAATGCTGGGAAAATTTATTCGGGGGAACTGCTGCATGAAAATTACTGGATTTTGCCAGGTCATAGGAAGGAGGCGTGCTTCGCTCTTCACAGCTCCCTTGGACAAGAGCTCCGCAAGAAAAGGGCCCATGACGACATTGAAGCGCTCTCGCTTCCCTGCACATTTCGCACCCCTGAGGTGCTCCTCCTCTGCCCACTTGCCTTGGCGGCCAAAGGGCTGCGCGGCTATATACTTGGAGGTGAACCGATGAACCCACAAACCCACAACTTACGAAAGTCCGAGGCACCACACAAGTAGCACCAAGGGTAGTGACGGCTGTCCTCACAGAAGGCCATGGCGAGCCATTTCTTGTTCTCGTCGCAGGCTCTGACCCACGTGTTGGTCCAGGAATCTTGGGGCAAAGGCGGCTCCCTCATCGTGTTTGCCGGGGGCGGTTTTAGCCATCCCTCCAGACTCCTCGGCTGTCAGCTTATAGCAAGTCTGGGAGGCTCCTGCCGGCTTGCAGCTTGCGCTCTCTTCGTGTGGCTTGCCAGCCCAAGCAGCTCATCTGTCTCCCCACTACCTGCCGAGTGCTGCAGGCCCACGAATAAGACGGTGGCTTCCGCTGATGGGTGAAAGGCCGGCGAAGACGCTCACGAATAACTCGAATTTAAGGAGCAATTACGTCGAACTTGATAGGGCCAATTCCACTACTAATACTGACTAACAAGGACACCAAACCACTCAATCAAATTTCAAATGGATAGCCTGGTCGAGAATTTGCACAGGATTCGAACGAGATTTCGCTAGCATGCAAACTCACCGAATTACTTGACGGAGGAGAGAATAGGGTAGGTCAAAACCGAGGCACTAATCCGAGGATTGATCTTCTTTTAACTTCTGACTTCGATAGAAATTCGATCCACGACGGCAGCAAATGAGAGTAGGGACCGGTCCCGGCCAGCCTCTCCAAGCGCCCCGGGTTTCAGGATCCTCGTGCATGCGAGTTCCAACCTAGGCTGGCAGTCCAGCTTGTCCACAAGCTCTTAAGTTGCTAAGAACAATAAGAATATTAATAACAATGGTACTACGATGATCATAAGTTAAGTATGTTCGCAGTAACTACGATAAGTCAATGATAAGTACTGCTATAGTAATAACTGACGGTGAGGGGCTGCCAGGTCGTCGAAGCTGCTTATCTCAACGAGTTGCCTCGGTTCAACACATGATGGTAGGGTTTGTGGCGAAGGAAAGCCGGGGAAGACATCTAGCATGCCGGCTTCGTGCTTCGTTCTAGCAGCTGGCAGCAACTGAACCAACCCGGCCATAGTTGAGACAGGAATGTCCTGCCACCCTGCCAGGGAGGATCCTAGAACCCCAAAGCCTACAACTTTGGTTAAAGCATTCGAGGAGCTCAGACAGGCGGGTGCCGTTCGGCGGGATAATGTAATTCGAACAAGGGTGTCATTGAAGGAATCGCAGGTCATGCTGGGCTTTAATCAAGGTCTTCCGGACCGTCGGGAGTTGGAGAAATCACGACGGACCGAAAGGTTAAGTGCATCTAGCTGCGAGACACGCAGGGGCCGTTGGTGGCGGCCATCCATGTCGCGGCTTTGAAACTTTTGCTACGATCAAGCCTCGACTTTAAAGGGTTGTGAGTGAAAGGTCGGGCATCGGCATTGACTCAATGCAAAGCCTGAGCTTACATTAAGGCTTAAACGAGACCATGGTGCCAAAGTACGGCACCAAAGTTTTTTGGGTGGCAATATGGACTGCTCTAATCGCTTACCCCCCACATGCACCCCACGCCCACATGTACAGTACAGGGGAGTCTAATAAAGCTGACGGCTGCAAACATCGATATATCACGCCTCAAGCCCTAAAGCCCATTCATTCTGCAACGCAACGTCAGATGACACCACGAAACAGCTCTCCCTGTTCGCAGCTACTTTCTCAGCCGCTCACTCGGAAGGTCGGGATCTTCATGAACTGCACCATCGTGCGAATCTCGCGAAGTATCCCGAATCTCCTTGCTCGATTCCACGGTTGATGGCCACTTCGAAAACAATCGCATGACGAGCAGGTTTTGCCAAGCATGGAACGTGGACTCCCGTGCCACCAGGAAGGGCTCTCTTCGCTTTGGCATCTCTGGGACCTGCCTTGGCTTCCAAACCGTCGGCTCTTCGTGTACGGCCACCCGGACGAAGAGCACCTTAAGAGCACGGGAGTTCTCGGCAGGCAGCTGAGCGCCCATCGAGCGCCTGAAGGCTTCTCTAGGCCGAGGCGCGCAGAAGAGGCTCAGCACCCCCACGAAGGCCAAAGATAGTCGCCAGCCGCGGACCCCGTGAACCACACTCTCCTCCGCTCGGAGCGAGAAAGGGCTTTTTGGGCTTTGGCACTGCGCTGCAAGTGCTGTCTGAGGATCTGAAATTGGGGTCACCATAAGACACGCCAAGACCTGGCCCACGTTCGCAGCGCAGGCGACCTGCAACGAACTCAGAGCTCAGAGCGCTGAGACGTGCTGAGTTTCAGCGACTCTTGGGAATGGTTTTGTTGGGCCTTGCCGAACGCCGACCCACAGTTGGAGGACGTGGTCAAGTCTGCCACGAAGGATTGCATCACCGGCACCTGCAAGGCTCCGCGTCCGACTTGGAAGTAGCGGCTAGCGCCTAGTCACGGCTAGTCCTGGCCGAGGTGCCATCATCGCCAAAGCAGCTCCGTTAAGCACCTCGACAACTCTATTGTCATCTATACTTATAATCCACAGTCGACAGGCGGTTCATGAAACGCAGCGCTGCCGTACCGTAGGCTAGCGACTAGACGTGTGCTAGATGAAGATGGTGTCTCTAGCTTCCCACATCGACTCCTCAGCCCCTGGGCTCGTGCAGACTGGCAGCCCGCAGGACGATCATGATCACAAAGTTCGAAGTCAAAGCCAGCTGGATGGTGCAGAGGCCCCAGAGCCCGGCGCCCACCTCATCTCGGCTGAAGCTCACTGATGGCACGGGGTTGAATGACACAAGATGCCAAAAGTTTTCGGCAGGCCCATGTCTTCCCGCCATTCAGGCTGCAACTAGTCCCTGTTGTGGCGACTCAGCTGTGAAACCTTTGCGTGCCTGCAGAAGCCACTTGCGGGAGGCGCCGGAGTCCACAAGATTCCCCCAGATGGGCCCGGAGACAGCACATGCCACGCCTGCACCGGCGGAGGCTACGCACTGCATCCCAGAAAAAATTTCGCGATGAAACAAGACGCCGTACACCAGCATCCGGGCTCTCGGAAAAGGCCTTGGCAAAGCGCGAGGACAGCCAGCCTCGGGATGGCGCCGGTCGTTTGAGGCTTTCACAACTCGGACAAGCCAGGCGAGGTCCATCGCTTCGCAGTCGAACAACAGGAGCAAAGCTCCTCATCACCCTACGTAAGGAAATAAGGTACAGGTACCCCAAGGCTGGGCAGTCTAGGCGACAGCGGCCACTAAACGGCAAACAGCTGTGGTGCTAAGCGCTTCACTGGCTGGGCATCAGGTGGAGATCCTAAGCTGGCATTTCAGCTGTCGCGCCACCGTGCGACACGTCTCGCTTGTCTGTTGTGCTGCCTGGACACGTGCTCCATCGCACGGAAGGAAGATGGAAGCATCTGTATGTCCTGATAAACGACAGCTAGACATGTCAACAGCGCATAGCTCCTCACGGTCGACCAACCTAAACCCTAGTGCACGAAGATGCACAAGGATGGAGTGTTTTGGTTGATTTGCAGGCTTCCACTCTTCCGCCGGGTGTCTGCCCCCTTCATGGCGGAAAGCATGAACAGAGCCGCCAGCGTCGAATCTCTGCGAGATGTGTCGACGATTGGCCTGGCACGGGTCCGCTGCAGACTTAGGGATTTCACGCTTGGAAACTCGTGTATCACAGCCCGGCCTCTGTGAATTCTGTACATGTTGTTCGGATTCGGATTCGTCCATCTTGGAAACCTTTGCAGCTCACCAGCGGGATGCGAAGCTGGGCAATCCAAGCTAACCAAAAGTGCTTGGAAACATTCGCCCGTGCGGGTCCGCGGCTACGACCCAGCAAGCCCCTGGTTAAAGTCGGCTCAAGCTTAAGGTAACCTGGAAGTCTCGCGCAAAAGCACTTTGTTTCAGAAAGGCCAAGGCCTGGCACGAAGCCAGGGAGGCACCTTTCACATAGACATTCCTCGGCTCTGGCTGATTATGTGGGAACACGGAGGTCCTTCTGCACAGACGCTTCGGGCACTCTTTGTGTGGCTGTTGGGGTTGCTCGCCGATCTTGCGCCTGAGGTTCGGTTGCCAAGCCATGCAGTATCTTGTATGCGTGGCCTCTGCGGGTCCAGGTTTTTAGAAGCTCCCAAAGTACCTTTACCTGAAGCACTTCAGAAACTCCAAAGCTGCATGGGCCTGCCCGCAGGCAGAGAGATCACGGCCTCTGTCCAAGAAGTACATGCGCTAGGCCCTCAGCAGAAGGGGCACTTTTTGCACATCAAGCGTCTGAATGGGGCAACACCAAAGCGCAGCCCCTGTGGCAGAGTTTGAGCCAAAGCAGTGGGGCAGGGCCGTGCGATGCCCTAAGCGGCGAAAGGCATCCATCCTGTAAGACCTTGTCACAGCTCCCAAACCTTACATGAGACCAGTCTTTTTCAACGTTGCACCTTCAGCTGGAGGCTGGCATGATCATTTTCACACGCACAGACTCCTACTAAGCAACGTGCTATGGATTTGACTCTTAGTCTTACTCTGGGGCACACGATGGGGGGAGCCTTTGCCAGGAACTGTCCAAAGGACTGCCCCTCCGAAGTTAAACGGTTCGCGGCTGCAGCCTAAGCTGGCATGAAATCAACTCAACGGCCTTTGCTTCGATCCCTAGTCCTAGGCTGTTATGCAGCCTCCCAACTCCTTGCATCCCGTGGCTACACATCGCTGCAGGGCGTCGCTCTCCCAGAACTGCAGCGCTCCTCCCAGCACTGAGACTGGTATTCCAGAAAAGGGGAGCTGAAGAAGCGTGCTCGGTGGAGCCAGCAAGGTGAAGGGCTTTTGGAGATAAAGATGAAGGACGACTTAACTATATCTGCATTCTGGGATGCTTCCACCCATCGGTCCATGCAACCCAATCCAAACAATGCTGAGTTGCAATATGCTGTGTTCCGTGGTTTCATGATCACGGGGTCCTCTTTGCGCTACAGTATGAATATGAACACATACATTTTGAGATACATAGCGAAGCAAGGGCATGCACGCATGCATATGTAGCTGCTTTAAGGTTCTGCTGCTGCAATACCAACTAACCGTCTCATTAATCTTACTACTTTGTTGCGTTTCTTTTCAAAGTTCTCGCTCGGCGCGCTTGTACGAATAGTAGGTAGTAGGCTCGAGCTTGCGCCTGCAACTGCGCAACATCACTGTAGCCTTGGCTTCTGTCACGCTCGTGCCAAAATACTCCAAGCAGCCTCACGGCGAGCACGGCTGCCCGAAGCATTGAAAGACAGAATCGAAAGAAACACAAAATACATGAACGAACGGAACGAGCAACGCGTAGAAAGAATGGAATGGGTGGAATGCATGGAACAAATGGAAAGAACGGAATGATGGAATGAATGAACACATTGATTGGGTGGAATGAACGGAATGCATGGAATAATCAGAACGAGCGGAATGAAAGGAATGAGGGGAATGAACGGAATGAACAGAATGAGTCGCTTTAAGGAAAGACAAGCACACGCAGCGGGAATAGTAGACCTGCTTCAGGAAAGACAAGCACATGCATAGGCCAGAAAAGCACGCCTGCGTGCATCTGGTACAGTACGTGTCTGTTGAACATATGTGCAAACGCGTATATGTGTGAATATGTATACACACGAAAGCCATTACCCGGATCTTCTTGTCCGGGTAAAGTCACGAAGAGCAAGCGGCCTTCTTCCTCCGCGCCATCTGGGCTGCCCAGTTCCGGGAGGAGGAGCGCCAGCCCCCACGGCTCGTGGAGGCCTCCGAGCCAAACAGTGGTTGTCCACATGTGCATTGTATGTATGTATGTATGTATGTATGTATGTATGTATGTTGATCGCACACTGTAGTCGATGCAAACATGCAGGGAAATATAAGTACATGCATCACATGTACGTACACTTGTCTTCTTGATGATCCGTGCCGATGATTTCACATCTAGCAACAAACTCTGCACCCACGGGGTTCAGATCTGGAGGGCCCGGAGCAAGGTTCAAAACTTGTGCATGCATACTTCACGCTTTCTGATTTCGTTAATGCGACTTGAACTTACTGCACGCACTGACTATGATGCTATCAGTGGGTCGCAGCATTGCAGTACCAGTCGTCAAAATAACGTTTTGAAGCACAACAACAGTCATGATAGTCTAGGGAAAACTCAAAAGGATACTCTGCGTGTGTATGTGTATATATATATATATATATGTATAGGTCATGTGTGTGTGTGTGTGTGCGCGTGCGTGTGCGTGCGTGCGTGCGTGCGTGCGTGCGCGTGCGTGTGCGTGTGTGTGTGTGCGCGTGCGTGCGTGTGTGTGTTTGTACGTATATCTGTATATATGCACATGCACATACGTATATGTACAATATCCTTTATGTGTGTGTGTGTGCGCGTGTTTGCATGGGTATATGTAGCAAGGTGCGCAGCACGGAATACACGCATGACATACATGTGTCGGCAGTGTGCTGGTTATCCATCTAAAGACCCACCTCGCTGATTTCCTCGGCCAGATCAGCATCGCTGGCAGTCGCAAAGAGATCGACCATTGAGGTCGATTCCTCCCGAGAAAGCAACATGAACTCAAGAGTGCAAGTCAATGTCTTGCAGCTTACCCACATCCCAGAGGCCACGGAGGTCATGTGGCACCTGAGTTTACACGATGTCCTCCCTACATCATCTAGCGAGTAACTCCGGTCCGGATCCATCCCGGCTTCACGCATGGCGCGGGCGATGACGCTCTCCCCAAGGTCGACATCCTGCGGCTCAGACTTGGCTTCAGGCGGGCGTTCGTAGATTTTAACGTCCGTGCGTTGATGGAGCAGAGTGACAGTTGAAGAGACTGCTGAACTGACAAATTGGAAGAAGCCATGCTCAACTTGTAAGACTTATGACAATATGGCTCGTCCGGAAAACGCTCCGCTCTTCCGGCTCCTTCAGCGGCTCCACAGTCAGAGGCGGGGGTGCCATGTCCAGCTCCGAGGGCGCCTTCAAGTTGCCCTTTACGACGATCAGCCCAACCGAAAGGAATGAAAGGGGTGTGTCATGGGGGGTAGTTCTCTAAATTAGGGTCCCTAGTAATGAAAGGGGTGTGTCATGGGGGGGTAGTTCTCTAGATTAGGGTCCCTTTTAGGGCCCTCTTGATAAGGGTGCCGTATTATTTTGGGAATCTAAAAAGGGACCCTAGTTTCGAGACCCATGAACAGCCCGGCCTCAGCTTCGTCGGTGGCCGCTGTATTGCTCGGCAGCTGCGATGGGTCGCTGCTTGGCGCCGTGACCGGCGGGTTGGGGCTGGAAGACAGCAGCGCCACCATCTTCTCATTCCACAACTCCTGGAAACAGGCCATGGCTGTACCGCGACACGGGTCACAACTTCCCAAGGAAGCTCCTTCTCGCGCTCCATCTCCTGTCAGCGCGAGCGATGCACAGAGTCTGCAGCAAGTCGGCCTGTCATGCAGCCAAGGCACAGATATTATGTCGTGAAAGCCTCAGCCAGGAAAACAACTTCTGAGGGCGGAGTGATTTTGTGGATGCCCCGTGGATGGGCGACTTCGACTCGCACACACGCTCAAGGCAGGCACGGATTCAGTCGGCAGGTTCAACAACACCAACCTTCTCAATTTCTACCCGTAATCTGGTACCACCGGGCCAGGTTTCAACATTGCTGTGCTAAAGCTCCTGCATTGCTCCCTGCCTTTACACCTGGCTATGAGACCTGCCATCAGTTTCTAGGCCATCTCTTTCACACTTCTTGCTTGCTAGAAGCTGTTCCGCCGCACATCCTCCTGGCCCAATGCGTCACTAAGAACGTCCATTATGGCCTGAGACAGGAGACGGAAGTTCGCGAAATGCGGCAGTCTTGTTACCGGCACAGGCTGGCAATCCAAACACGCAAACAGACAGAGAGAGCAAGAGAGAGAGACGGACAACACACAGACCTCGACGAACAGAGAGGAACCAGCACAAATGCATTAAGAATTTTACAGTACATATACTTGGATCCATGATGGCCTCGCAACATGCACTGGGCAGAAACTTCATGACAGACGACAGGTGAAGGCAGCCGAGCGGAAGAGGTCACAGAGGGCCCGACGGGGCTTGGACAGCTGGGCATCTCCCAGGCCCTGGGACCCTCCTCGCGGCTCTCGCTCTCGTGGCTCTCGGGCGAGGGGGCGGAGGAATAGCCGGCGAAGACCGGTGACGCCGTTTCCCGGCTTGGCGGCTTGGTGGTCTGTGCCAGCTTGCGGCTGGGCTCGGACTTGGTGCCCGACTCCTGCAAACGGCATTCGCGGACGGTTCCATCACATGCACAACATTGTGGAGCATGTCGCGTCCTTCGATGGAGCACCTGTCACTGTGCGGGCGTGCTGGCTGCTGCTCCGGCCATCGCGTTCTGGCAAAGAGCGGCGTGCCGAAGATACGCTGCTCCCACTTGCACCAGGGTCTGAGCTCTGCCAATGTCTCTCCCGAGCTGTCAACGGCACGGGCGGCAAACCTGAGCTGATGTTGGAAACGAAGCAAAACCGATGGTGTCACAGCTGACACTGAAGGTGTGTTTGTCAAGGAGCTTGTGGAGCCACCCTTCTGCCGCGGCGTTTGGCAGGTTGCCCGCTCTCCTTGTGCACGACGACCAGTGCTCCGTGACGGCAGCTCTGCTGGGGGCCGCGGGGCGAAACACGAGGCCGGCGGTGCCACCTACTTTGCAAGGCTGCCACACGTTCAACTTGAAACGTCTACTTCGAACTTCGCACTTGAGACTATCCCAACAACCACCTCGGGGTAGGCACCACCCGTGGTCTGATCAGACGTAGGGCTGTCCAAAACGTGGTCGTGGAAGCCTTGTGACTCACAGCTGCACATGTGCAATCCGAGGCTAGGATTTCGGGATCGCAGAAAGCTTGGATTGCTCCTGACTCCACCCCAGCCGCTACGCCTTCGTTCCAATCCTGCGAAGAAGACCGGGCTACCAAGCACAGCTACTAGTAGGATGTTCCTGCTGAAAGATTTGCTAACCTTGGACAGCCATCCTTGAAACTCGACATGGCAAACAAGCAGCTGCCGACTCTTCGTGCAGGTCCAGCAGGAGGCCGTGACCGTGGCGTAAGCTTGCCATCACCTGAGCCGAGCATACAGAGAGATAGACAGATAGGTAGATAGAGTGGTAGGTAGGCTTGTCATTGAAGACACCGAGGTATACTATTTAAGCTTGCGTGATGCGTACGCTATATTCTAAATGACTATATGCCCACAGAGAGAGAGAGAGAGAGAGAGAGAGAGAGGGGGAGAGAGAGAGAGAGAGAGAAAGAGAAAGAGATACACACATACATGCCGACATACATACATACATACATCCATGTATGCATGCATACATACATACATACATTTTTTGGCACTCGCACTCGACGAAGTCAGGCGAGGTATACGGCGACAGACAACGTTCCGAGGGCTTCTTTCAAACCTCCAGGTAGAAGCCGCAGCACACACTGCTATACCTCAAGGTACCGCAGTATCATACATACATACATACATACATACATACAATATACATACATACATACATACATACATACATCCATGCATGCATGCATACATACATACATACATACCTACGTACATACATGCATACATACATACATACATTGACATACACACACACATGTAGTTGTTTGTTTATTTGTTGTATTTACCTGTATGTGCGTGTGCATGTGTGTGTCAAAAATCTTTTTGTCTGCCCCATCTTGCCTGTTCATTGGCGTACGTGTATGTGCATGTATATAAAAATATGTGTATACACACACATATATATATATACATACATATACATATGTGCATATTGGCACCACGTGTCCATCCAAATCCCGGGCTGCCGACACTTTCGGAGTTCCGGCAGCTCCTCGCTCCGTTCTGTGCGCCCGGGCTCCAGCGGCGACATGGCATGGAAGGTAGATCCAAAAGTATGTGTGCAATAGTTCGGTAGGGCTATGAGTAGTATAGGATGTAACCGAGCCTTCTCATGCAGAGCAAGGTTTAGCAATGCTTCGGCGGCATTGTGTAGCACTTTGCGCAGTTCATCCCGCAGGGAGAATTGAGTAGACCCACAGGAGCATAGCTTTGTTGAGCTGACATCGCTTAGAGGTTAGGGGACAAGATGTGTTCATGGTTCCTGCACATGGCTAACTTTCAAGCCCCTGTTCCTGCTGCAAGTTGAATGATGCTTGGAGTGCTCGTTTGCATGAGCTGAACCGTGTAGGAGTGCCCCCAGTGCTGCAGTGTGCTCGACTTCACAGAATGACAGGATGACTCGAGCCTCGTAGCTGCTCGGTACCAACACACTGGAACAGAGGACAAAGGTTTTGCGGCTCCGAAAGTGTAGACACTTGCTCAGCGAACTCGGCACACTGGTTGCAAATGAACACCTCCTGAAAAGCCAACAAGTCCACTCAGTGCTTCCAGCTGGCCGCCACAAGTACACTAAGTACACCCCATCTGCCGCAAGCCTGGCAGAAAGATTAAAAGCTTGGCTCGTTGCGGAGCCGTGCCACTGGCAGTCGCCACCTGGCGTGAGCTTGAATTGCCAAAGTCAGAGGAGAACCCTCCCTCCTTTCCAGGCCCCACCTGTGGAGTGACCTCTGGCAGGGCAGAGATGAAGGGCACGGGGGCATCTATGATGGCCTCCTGGCTGGCAAAGGCACAGAGCTCAGATCCACTGCGTAAAGCTAGAGTGATGTATGTAGGGACACGCACCTACGAAGCCCTATCTGCGTGAATGTTCCAAGTTTGCACGAACCAACCGACAGGAAAGAGGGCACGGAGCAGTGACTCAACGTTTAAGTCTAAGTTTCCATGCATGAAGTTCACGAGTGCCTGAAGGTATGCCGGGCAGATCGGGAGAAGCAGATGCTGCCAACCTGCCGTACAGCGAGTCACTTGACAGCACCATCGCAAGAGGGCTCAGAACCCCCCCCCATTGGACCTTTGCTCACGTAGCCTGGAGGACTTATTTCTGTTTCTTTGCACATTCATGTCAGTTCCAACCATATCTGCTACCTCGACGATGAGCTGATGGACACCCTGCCAACTCCCACACTGCGGGATGTGCCTTTCCTTCGTTTGTCTAGAAATACGTGCTGACTGCTCGTGCTCCGTATACCTTTTGACGGTTCCCGTGCGGCAGAGCTGCTGAAAGGCCACAGAAGCGAGCTCAAGCCTTAGATTCAGGCACGTTTTCAACGAACAGAATTTCGGGTCCACCTGCAAGTACATAGTCTGCAGCTCCTGTCGATTCCCCAAGCCGAGGCACCGAGCACCAGCTTGGAGGCCAACTCGGGGGATTGGGAGACCTGGCCGTAGCTTTAAAAGGGAGACCAGGGAGACCCCAAACAGGGTTTCGACTCCCCCCATGACAGGAGGCAGACAAAGTCCGACTCACTTGACTCCTAAGGCAATGGAGATCTCGTCAACACGGCTCATGACCTCAACTATATAACAGACCGACCACCCTCGGAGTTTTCGGGAGAGGAGGGCCGAGGCCAATTGTCCTGCTCTCTTCTTCTTCTCTTTAAGGCCTGCCCCGGGAAGAGCTGGCGACCAGTAAGTGCATCAATGACCAAACGAGTGCTTTGGCGACCAGAAAAATTGCGGGCTTGACTTCTTCCACCTCAAACCTTAGCAAGCCGTTGTTCACCTTCCGGAAGCTCCATCCCGCAGGATCATGAACTAAATTACTAGAGCGGGAGGTCCCGTTTCCTATGCAGCAAGCGGCTGCAAAAGACGGCCTGCTGGAGAGACTAACACAAGAAGGTTCAGGCACATGTAATTACATCTATACGTACAAACACATACATGTATGTTTTCGATCATTGACCCATGAAGCACAGCAGTGGCACCACGACTACGCGGAACTCGAGCAGAAGGGCAACGACAATCTCCAGGATGGCCTCTTCGCACCAGCTCGGCCAGGGTGAGGTACAAAATCAAGGGTCCAAACTATGGAACGGCTGCATGTTTTTGTTACATTCCAAGCGATCACACTGTTGGGGGGGATTGCAGTCCCTCCCCTTCTGACACACTTGCGAGCCTGGAGAGTAAAGCGGCTGAAAAGGTCGGCTGCAGCCCATCTAAGTCATCTAAGTCATGAAAGGGCCATTTCCACAAGTAAAATCTTCCCCGCACCGGAGATTGATTCTGCCTGCTGTGATCTGCTATGCGCCTCACCTTGCTCCATCCACGCCCCGCCTACCCTCTTTGCACACGTGCATGCAGGCTTGAGTGAGACCTTCGGATTCCATCCAAGAGCCGGGCTCCAGCAGCACCGTGGAGCGCAGCCGCAGGTCCTGCAAGGCGGATGGAGAGAAGTCGCAGGTCAGTCACATCATTCTGCTTTGCGTGCCACACTCCTCCTGGAACAAATTCCGAAGTTGCCTGGCAAGCAGAATCAAGCAGGCTACTCAACATTCCGCCGCCTGAGCAATGCTAACCCATATGGTGGCAGATGCAGCCCGTTGTGGTAGCCTGCATCAACCTAACGATGGCTTGTGCGACCTGTAGAAGTTACTCGTCTTGCAGATCCCAACATGGTAAGGGTTGCTCTGCACCGTCATGGCGCTTAAACGTGAGGTCATGGTGGACACACCTTGGGTCTTCGTATGCGCCAACACAGAATATTGGAAGGAAGGCCTTCTTGATGAACTACTCAAAGCTGAATACGATTGGGATGCTTCTAAGGAATGGCACGCAGAGCAAGCAAAGAAGTTGCTGTCGGACTTGCTCGGCCAGTCCGTGTTTGTGCGTTTATTTGACGTCCCAGGCCATATCTCACCATGTTCATGTTAACTGAAGCTGTAGTATCTATTAGTTCGTACGCGTATCTACTTAAGTCCCTGTGGTGCCTCAGCTCGCTTTGCACACCGAGCTTGAGTTTGCATGTACACCCGGGCAGCTGTGATCTCTCTGTTGGTTTCGAACCTGTATGATCTTGTAAAGCCGTGGGCATCGTGTGGACAGCGGCCGCCGACTCGGAGTTTTTCCGACGCAGACAGAGTTCACTCCGGAGGCTGCCAGGCGGAAACCTGCACAATGTCGGTGCCTAAAAAGTTGCCGACTGCACCTTGCGCCTCGTCCGTGCCGCTTGTCAGCAATGGTCAAAGGCTCCGACATGCCCCGCCAAGTCCAGTCCACCTCGTCCAAGAAGCGAGGACAGCAGCCTTACCACAAGAAGGGCACAACAGCACAGAGATGCATAATGGCACATGATGTTAAGGAATGTTAAGGATAGCGGCATTTCCTCTCACCAAGCGGCTGTTTTGCCGAGGCGGCGGGCTCAGTTCCCTGCGGCCAAGGCTGAACAGTTCTTGAATGGTACGCTAGGGACAGCCTTTTCGATGACGACATACGATGCTGTGTGGAGTGGCATGGTGGCAATGCTAGACTAAGCCAGAGGCGGAGCTTCAGGAGGAGCAGGCATCAGCAGCAGGATTTCAGTACACAGGCGAACAGTGAATGAATGATGAGACAGCAGGCATGGGTGGTTGCAATATTTTGCAATGAAGCGTGCGTGACATGTGCCCGCCGCATCACGACAATCACCACCAGCGCCATCATCATCAACATATATCAGCATCTCAGTATCATCATCATCAACAACATAATGACGGTCATCATCATCATCATCATCAAAGAACGTTTACTAAGGAAGTCAAAGACATGCGAGAAACCAAGGCCGAAACTGAAGGCCGTAATGACGGCACCGACTCTCGTAAGCGCTACCAGGAATGCCAACCTCATATAAAGAAACTGCCGCGTAGTTGCAAAATCCAATTCCCAGAACGTACTTGCAAACTAGAATCCCCCCGGTATTTGCAGAATCCAAACGGCCGGAGCGGAAAAACATAACCAGAATCTTGCTTAAAAATGTAAGCTCGACAGAAGTGAAAGAAGACCCCACTGGCCCAAGCAAAGCCAGATTCGAACTCCAGCTTGGCTTCAGCGTGTCACAGTAGAAGGCTTCTGGGGCCTCTAGTACTGGCAGCAGGCTTTAAGGCTGCTGGGGTCTCCGGGGACTCTTATTACAGTCCAATCTTCTCAAGCAAACACCAAGGAGGCACAGCCATAACTACGACTACGACCGTCTGAAAGAGAAGCAACATCTGCGCACAGATCCGATGCAGCTCATTTTCCCGTCTCCCTTGAACCTCCCAAGATTCCGTTCCAAAGACTTGTCGATCCGACCCTTGCACTTCCCCTGCTGTGGTCACCATGCGACTGCGATTGCTGTCTGCAAATGAATGTGAAATAATGCGAATCTTGTTGTGCTTCTAGCCCGCACAGATGGCATTGTATCTTTGAGGCAGCAGAAGGAGCTAAATCATGGGCCGAGAGTGGAAATCCTGTCGCGGTCCGCCTCTTCCCTCAGCCGCAGCTCCGTCACAGTTGTACCACAAATGCGCCCAGCAAAGGCACCTTGGAACAGTTCGTCGGGGCTTCGGGCATGGCTAGCAAGAGCTGCAAGGCAAGAAGTGAACTGCATGGCCGGGAGGCTACTGAGGCGGCACAGCAGGGTCTTCAGCTCCGCAGGCAGTAGCCCTCCTGTGCATGGTGATGAAACTGACGTACGATGACATGCGCCATGGAAAGATACTGACAAAAATAACATGGGAGGCCCGCTGCGGCCTGCTGTGGGGACATTCCTTGGCTGCAGGGAAAGCAATATAAAACACCTGCTTGATGCTGCCTTCCGCCTCAGACTTCTGGAGGTCCCCGACTTAGCCGAGCGTCACGTGGGGAAACGCCGAGGGGTCCATCACATCCAGGTCGAGGTGCACATGCAGAAGGCCGGTCGGTCCAGCCACATCAGCCACGACCTCGACAGAGGTCCGCTGAAAAGAAAGGGGTGGAGGAGGGCCGCGAGAAGGATGGGGCGACGTGCAGGCAGAGGGCTTTGATTGCATCCTCCAAGTTGGACTGAAGATCCCTCGTTGTCAGCCTCTTCACCTGACCAGAGTTATAGATGACGGAAACTTCTCCACGCCAGAAGCTGCCCTCATGAATTACATCAGTATGCACTGTGCTTTCGAATGGCAGCTGAGGGCTGCAAGAGTGCCTTCGCCTCTTGGATAAACTGCTCCTCAGCAGGATCTGCATCGCGAATGCCTGCTGCAAATCATGACGTCGTTGGCTGAAGGCTTTTGCCTTTTTCACAGCTCTTCAGAAGTGGGAAGAACCTACCGCCACAAACACAAGCGGACCGGCCTAGCATCACCAAGCGTTCTGGACCCAATGCCTCGTCGCGTGGCTAAGTTTCGTGATATGCCTCATGGCCGCTACTCCACCTGCGCGTTGTTCAGTGTGCCCCAAAGCTACGAAGCCTCTGATCAAGGATTCGAGCATCCTTGGGGAAACTTACGAGCTCTGGCCGCTAGGGAGATCCTGATGACAGCCCTTACGAGGGCAAGAAGGGATGCAGTCGTCTTTGCACAACGATGACTGCAAAGCCGAGCATGTATGCTATCTCTGTGATTGTGACGAGTACTTTGGAATTAACGGACAGGGCAATCCTGCAATGACCAGGCTCCTCTTAGGACAGCCTAAGCAGCCTACTCCTCAAGGCAAGTTTCACACTGCACATGGGAAATGGAAGACTTCCAAACCAACAATCCTTAGATGGGCTTCCAAAAGCCATTTCCGATGCAAGGGGCCTGGAAAGGTGCTCGCAAGCCCTGCGGCCCTTCACCCAAAGCTGCACGCAGGCTCATGCCTAAGAGGGCACTGCTGGATCCGTACGCAAGCCTCCCCCGACTCTCGAAGCTCGGTGGGGTGAGGGGAGGCGGCTTCGTGGATTTCAGAGGCTTGGCTATTCTTGGCGCTGCACAAGGTTTATCCGAACTTGCAGGCTGTCAGAAAAAGCACGAGCACGTGGCTGACTGTCACTCCTTGTCCTTGTCCTTGTCCTCCTCGGGTGGCATGTTTGGCTTCCGATGCCGGCGAGTTCCGTGGTCTTTGTCCGGCTTGAAGATCGGCGAGAAGCTGAAGTACTTTGGGAACGGATCAACGTGGAACATCGAATCATCTCCCAACCACACTTTCTCTGTTCCGTCCCTGTCCTCTCTGTCGCCTGGCTGAAAGTATCCATCTCGGTAAGGTCGCTTCTCGATGTAGTACCATCGCTGCTTTGGCGACTTTCGGACACGACCAGCAAAGCGTCTTGCCAGCCCGAGCTCCTTGCAAAGCTGCGCACTCCTTTCAGAGCCGATGGCACGTCCCAAAGCCCGGAAGCTGAATGTTGTGGGAGCCACTCCACGCTCGACCATACTACGGAAAATACGTTCCGGATCGGGCGCCTTCTTCCGCGTTCGTGTCTCTGCGCTTGCCAAAAGTAGCCAAGACCAAGCATCAGCATCTGCAGCAACACTGTGGTTTTCCATCAATTCGAACACTGCCTCAGCTTGAGCGAATTTCCCCTCCTTAGCAAAAGCGCTGATAACTGCAGTGTAAGCACGGGCATCAGGCCTGACCGCGGAAAGGATGGCTTCGTCCAGCAGCCGTTTTGCTGACGCGCTGTCGCCGCCTTTGGCAAAAGCCTCAATCGCTTGGACGTGCCGGCGGAGAGTTCTTCCGGACTCCTTCATTTCCAGACTTCGCACGGCATCCAGGTAGCCTTGGGAAGACAAGGACTCAATAACCTGGCTGTAAAGATCCTCGGAGGCACTGCCTCTGAAAGCGGCCAATGTAGCTGATGCTTGTGCTGCTAGGCCTTCTCGGCTTTGGCTTTCGATCACTGCCTCGTAGCAGATCGAGGAGGGTTCCACCTGCAACGTACGCATTTCATGCAGCCAAACAGCAGCTAACACAGGATCTTCCTTGGCGATGGCTCGCACGAATTCTGTACACTCGGCAGCTTCCTTTCTGTCCTCTGTGAGAGCCGCGTAAGCAGAGTTCGCCAGATCCCGCAAGTGGTCCGACGGGCGCATGTCAGCCGGCAGCTCACTGCTCAGAATCGTGGCCGGTCTCGCGAAACCAAGCTCGCTACAAACATCGACTGCTGCTAGAAGAACTGCGACAGCCGTCGCTGTTGCCAGGGGTCGCCGGCCGTCAATGCCCATGGCCATGGCGATTGGAGCACGCAAGAGCAAGGGTAAAGCACAAATTGGCCTTGCCATCTGCCCAGAAATCGCTATGGTCTACGGACATTCAATGGATTCTATGAGCATGGCAGCATGGCACACTCTGCTGCCACATGTGGATTGCCGGGTATTGAAGCTCACAAGCCTTAAGTCATAAACGGCTTCATGCAAGGGCTTAGAGTGAAGTTCGGACTTTACGTTTGCGAGGGCTTCGCCGGTTTGGTGCAAACTTGTCGGGACTGAAATGAATTCAAATTGAGTGCTCCTGCTGTTGGGTTTCTATGGTCCTCAGCATCCTTGTTTGTAGGACTGGCTGCATCAGGCCCACCAAACGCATGCCGGGGCGCCATGGAAGTGGCCCGAAGGTGACTCGGCCTGCTCTGCGCAGTGTCTTGAGAGATCATGCTAGACTGCTAGGCTCCGGATGGTGACATTCTACTCAATCACCTGCAGCCCCGACGCAAAGCCCAGCGATTTCGCCATGTGCGTATACCAACAAAAACCAACCAAGCTACAAAGACCTCACGTGCCGTCCCGAATCATCGCAAATGGTAGTTGTTGCAAGTTGTGCATGATGGGCGACCGCACGAGCTTGCCGTGTAGCGATACGAGAGCAGCCGGACATAGCACTTGCACCATGAACGAATCAAGTCTCCATAAGGCTGCGAAGAAAGACTTAAGCTAGCCTGATGCTGCATGTAGTGGCATCATGAAGTTTGATTTTGGGGCCCGTAACCGGTAAACCCACAGCCAGCTCGAAACCGCGCATGGGCAGCAAGCAGCATTGCTCTCTGGCTCCAGTTCCGATGAAGGTACGTAGAGCCGAGGTTGGCGAAAGAGAAGATGGCTTGCAAGTTTCTTCTGACGGCATGGCTCCCAAGAGAACCACTCCGAAGCCTAAGGGCCTAGAAAACACTGGAAATCCGACAGAAAGGCCCAGAGAAGGCCCGCCTTAAAGATCCCCTTTGCCTAGGCTTGGCCGCCTCTTTGTTCAAGTCACAGTGAGCATCCACGTAGGCGACACAGAGCCGTTCGCCGTACCTTTCCGAGACAGCTTCCCGCCTAAAGGTCTCATGCCGCTGCCCACCCCGTTCCCCCCGCTTCCCCGCTTCCTCACCTTTCTGCCAAGTAAGAGATGGGCGTCAGATCCACGGAGCAGTCGCCGCCGACTGTCCAAACCTGTGCACCGCGTCGTTGCGGCCGCGGAAGCTAAGCCGAGCGGAGCGGCGGAGCCCTCTGTGCCTGCGAGGGCTGCTCGGCCCTGAGAAGTTCCGAAGCCGACGCCAACACCTCGGGCTTGTCGAAATGTGGCTCACTATATAGATACGACGAACACTAGCAGCAGCTAGTAGAAGCTAGCATCGCAGATCATGGGACCTTGACATCGAGGCCGAGGATCTTTTCGCAGGCTTCGCCGGAACTTCACGGAATCCTCCTCCTCTCCCGCTTCTGGCTCCGGAACGGGGAGCTGGTGCATGGGAACCCTGGGCAGCAAGAGGACCCTCAAAGTTCCCGCAAAAAAGCCTCAAAGCAAGGATTCTCCTCTTTGCCCCTCTTCTTCGGGCAGGCCTCGAAGGAAGGCTCTCCAGCAAGACCTCGCGAGCCAGCTCAGCACCTGCGGGGAGTGGCTGGGAAGGGCCAGGACTAGCACCGCCCGAATGCACCATGCTTTCAGGAACGTAAAGACACCCTCACCGAGGCCCTAGAATCACGAGACAGAGCATGGGGAGGCTGTCACCAAGATCCGGAAGAAGAGTCAAGCTTTTCGGGCTCACTAAACCCAAACCCTTTTTGTGAGAAGAATACATGATGTGGCCACGCGCACGGAGTTTTCTGAATCAAAGCACCTCGCAAGGCCTGGCCTCGCACTGCATTCATTGTGCCTGCGCCGAGTATTCCGGCCCCTTGCCACTGCGGCACGGCGAGGCCCAGGGACGCTCCTGCCCAAAGGCTTCTCCATGCTTTTTTTCGCGCTGGGAACTGTTGCTGGCGAGCATCCTGGCTTCCCGTGCCGCCTTCTGCCTATTCTTGGCGTTTCTACCTGCATTGTCTGACCCTTGGAAGCCCCCTTTCTCTGCCAACCTTCCCATATCCGACCCTGACAGGAAACCAAAGCCCCTCCCCCCCTTCCAGGTCCTCGCAGAGCTCTTGAGGTGCCCGGCCACCGGGCGATTGGCATGGCTTCAAAAGGCCGCCGTGTTTCGGGGTTGGCACTTTTGAGGTTTCGGGTTTAGGGGGGTCCAGCAAAAGCGCCGCCAGGCGGCCCCAAGACTTTCTCGAAAGTTGCCAAGCTCGTTTCTTTGGTGCAGAGTCGAGCTGCTGTGTCGGCCAACTGCTCATTGCACCATCTGTTTTTCGGTTTGGGCCGTGTGTAACATCTCCTCTTGCATCTGCGGCTCTTTGCTCTTTCAGTGCTAGATATTTTGCTCCCTGCGTGCTAGTTGGCGAGGGCAAGGTCAACGTGGTTCGATTCAGCTTTGGCCGGAATTCAGAATGGGGCGGTCCACATACTGCAATCATCTGCAATCCACACATCCAAGAAGACAGGCTGGCTCGGCCGGCTGCGCGGAGGATAGGAGAAGTTCGCGAGACCTGAGATCGGGGGCAGGAAAGCATGCGGATTCTGTGCTCCATGGAAGCACTCACACACACACACACACAAAGACAGACAGACAGACAAACAGACAGCGTTAGCGCAAAGGCAACAAAATCTCTTCAATGCTTATGCCGCTATGCCGATCACAGGTCGATCAAACAAAACACTGAAGCCGTCAGAAACAATAGAACGTGCTTGATTTTTCCTGCTGTCACCACATGAACCAAGCACTACCCGTTCAACAAAAATGTGGAGAGCATCGACGGACGAAACAGTGGTCGCACCATCGCTTGCATGTACTTTCACACTCGGTCGTACACGTCTACTGGCATTTCAGGCACCTGCACTCCAACAGAGAGAAGCCCATCGCTGGGGTGAAGACTCAACTTGCCTCTTCGACCTCTCACCCGACACATCTCCTGCTCGGCATGGCAACGGCTCTAGAAAGCTCGCGTGCTGTTGGAAAGGTCGTCTCCCCATCCCGCTCTCCTCGCTGCCGGAACGATGGAGCGATGCACGTGAAGAGCATTGGCTCTTCTTCGTGTCCACGCTTACCACCGGGGCCCTGCAACAGCATGATCGCTGCGGTGGGCGCAGGATTCATGTTGAAAATCGTTGAGAGGTCCCGTGTGCATGGAGCTCCGGGTTCCGGGGCGTTTCACGGCAGAGAGGCCGCATGATGTCAGAATCTGCCGCGGTCGGTTGTCCGGACTTCTGACTTTCCGCCTGCCAACATCCTCGTTGAGGTCACTGAGTACTGCCTGGCAGTTGTCCCAAGTCAAAGATGATCATGAGAAGCATGTGACAGCATGTGCATGCAGCCCCATCTAGACCTTCATCACTGATTCACGAATCGCCCCCTACGGTACAAGGCAGCTAAGGACGACGAGTACCACAACGGCTCTCTTGCTCGGGACGTCTTATAAGGCTCCCACCTCGACGGCCTTTGACGGCTCTGTCCGCGATCTGCGTGTCTCCGGGCGCAGCTGTGGAACCTCAGCAAAACACACTGCGCCAGAAACTTCCGCACAACCGCACATACAAGCAGCACAGAAGACTGGAATGTGGACACAAATGGAATCGTACGGTTACAGGCACAACTCAAACTTGGACTGGTAAGGAACATATGAACAAACTGCCACTACCGCAACATGACGCGAGCAGAACGGAGTAGGGATGAGCGCAAACCGCAAACCATCGCATGGCACAGCGCAAGCACAGAGGGTAGCGGCGACGCAACGCACGTGGCCACAGGGCAAGCAAAGCCCTTCCGGCGATCCGCCAGAAAGCCTGGAAGCGGGGTCTGGTATGGAAGTGGACACCTACTGTAGGCCCTAAACCACGAAGCATGCGAAAGGTCTTGAAAGCCTTCCGGCTTTTACATTTTCGCCGGCACGGCGAAATCGCTGGAATAGGTTGCAATCTTTGGCAAAGCGGTGCCCAAGAGAACGATCATCGCTCTCTTCGTGCACCCTCTTGCTGCTATGCTTGTCCCAGGCATTGTTCGGCACGTGAGGTGTATGACTAGGTGCGTCCTGGGCTTTCCAGAAACCGCCGCCGTGCATGTCCTGGACCCTGCCGGCCATCGTTGGAAGCTGGTAGCGCCGTTTTCGGAGCGCTTGAGCTGCCCTTAAGTACCCCAGCTCTACGCTGTAAACACCTGGCCAGCTTCCATCGGCCCTGAAAGAGCAGCCGCTTTGGGTGAGACTGCACGAGCTACAGAGGTTCCGGGTGCTTGTGAAGCAAATTGCTCTGTAGGAACTCCCTCAGAGCGAGGAGAAGTGCGCCTTGAGCTGCTTAATGAGCTCCTTGCTCTCAATGTGCTCAGGGTAAGCCTTGGCCCAAAACAGTTGCATGCAATCCGCCAGCACTCCGTTTGCTCCCTCTGACCTCGAGGGCTTTGTTGGCCAACTCGAAGCTGTCCTGAAACTCACCGAGCTTGAAGGCCTCGGCGGAGTTGCGGCTCGATTCACAAGATGACAGCCACCACCAGACCCGTTGAGCAAAGCTGCCAGCAGCCCTCCGTTGAAAGCCGGCTCGAACAGGTGGGCTGCCAAGCGCATCGCCGTGGCGAAATGCGCCTGGCCGCTGTGCACGCTGTGTAGGGCGCTGGGTCTCCGTCCGTCTTGGGGCGGAATCATGCCCCGCGGAAAGCGCCGTGCATCAACAAAAGCCGAACTTGCGGGTCTTTCCTGGGATACGCACTCGAACGGAGTGCTGCCCCTGCCTGTGCTTGCTCGACGTTGCCCTGGGCAAAGGAAGACAAGCATGGACGGCGTAGATAGGCAGTTGTTTGAGTTGTTTGAGAATCTGCCGAAGTTCTGCGAGACTTGGAGCACTGGCAGCGCAAGCCTTGCAACCCTACTAAACCTCCCTCGCCCCACTGCAGTGCCTTTCGCAGCTCCAGCACCCCAATGTTGTTGTAGCTCTCAGCGTGATTGGGGTCCACTGAGATGGCGATCTTGAAGGCTTGGTAAGCTAGACCTCCAAGGCGAGTTCCTACAGTGAAGGCATCAGACAAGGCCTTCAGCAGCTTCTTAGCAGCCGCGCCTAGGTCCCCCACACCGATTGCTACCTGGCCGATGTTGTACCAAACGTCCGCCATGTTGTCGTCGTCAGCCAACATGAGGGCACGCTCGAAGCAGCTCAGGGTCAGATCATACTGCCCGGCGTAGAAGCAGCAAAGCCCCATGTTGTTCCAAAGCTCCTGATTGCACGCTCTGCTGGGCCCCCGGCCCAGAAAAAACAACAAAAACTACCCCTGTTACTGCTAGACACAAGCGGCTGGTTTCAGCCTGGCCAGGTCACAACACAGGGAGAGCCAAGGCTCCGCGCTAACAACGCCGTTCTGCAACATGCGGCGATAGAATCGCAGGGCCAGCTCTGGTTGGTCTGTATAGAAATGGTGGGAAGCCAAGCACGCGATGGCTTCTGAATTCACGGCATCATACTGCAAGACTTTCCTGTGCTCTGTCTCGAAGGACTGGGGCCGGCTGAAGATTCTACTCTGTAGGGCTAGGGCCAGGGGTGGCTAGGGGTGGCTAGAGCAAATCGGTGAATCCTAAGCCAAGTATCTTGTAGAAGCTGACGCCTCGAAGCAATGCATTCAGCATGTCGTAGGTCCTAGCCAAGCCAATGAGGATGTGGGTTTCCCCCACAAACTTCTCGGCAGCGCGCCCGTATTGGTCGAGAGCCGAGTTTGGCTGGTCAAGACCTCAGCACGGCAATTGAGAGACCACGACCTCATGCAGAGCCCCTCATCCACACCCCCGCACCTTCACTGACCCTCGTCTATACCGGGTGACGAAGGTAGACCTTGCACAGCTCCAGGTGGGTGGTGATCATCTCCTCGTCCTTCAGCGCGCTCTTGAACTGCTTCTCCGCGTCACGGAGGAGGCCTTGGAGTCTTCCGAAGAAGACAGCGAGCCTTTCTCAGCGTCTCTTAGCCTCTTGGGTTCTGGGATCGCTCTTTAGTCGCTGGGCCGAGCTGGTAGTAGGCCTTCCCCAGCCGGGCCTTCCACCACCAGTCCTGCAGGCAGCTTTGGAGTTTGGCGGCAGCATGGGCGCGCATGAGGCCATGCAAAGCCGATCCTTAAAGTCGACAGCCTGTGTAGCTTCAGATGCCAACTCCTCGGATGTCAGGACAGTCTGTTGGGATCGGCTCAGCTTCACGACATGGTGGCATCTGATGGCAGAGCCTCAGCATGCAGCCATCTGCAGGGTTATTTGAATGACGCGTGCGACCAAGTCTCCAAGGCCTTCCGCGGATTGCGAGCATAGTACAACCTTGTCTGACCCTCTCTGCTGCAGTTGGAAGTGCCAAGGCTTGCACATTGATGCGCTGTTCCGAGCCCCGGTTCGTGACACTCAAGACTTGGAGCCACCAACATGACGATGCCGTTGCGGTGCTTGGTTCTTAACGCATGGCCCAGCTGCATGTAGTCGCACAGCGCTTTGGCGATTGCAGGTCGCTGCGCATACTTCTGCAGGTCCAGAGACTCTAAACGGACGAACTCGCCACCGTCCTGTCAGAGCCGGAAGCCTTGCTGCTGGCAGCACCGCGATGCGCATGGGACGGTCCTGATTCACCATGGACGCAGTACCCAGCCGTATCAGCCGACCCATGGACGTCAGTGGCCTGTCGGAGGCTCGTGGCGGAGACTGCGAAGCAACCTTTGGCCACTTTCGCCGAGAGAAGACTGCCGCTGGCCTAGATGTGCCTGGACGATTCCCCTGCATGGCAGTGGTCACGTCTCTCCCTGCAGAGGAGGACGTTGGCCGATTGGTGCCAGGCCGGGCAAAGCCCGTTAGTGGCCGGCCGCTAGCACTGACGGGTCGCACCACCTGGGTGGGCCCTCCGCCGCTTTCCTCGGTCCAAAGAACTTTGTCCCTGAGTTTAAGGCTTCGCTCTGTGCCAGTTTAAAGCTGCAGGTAACCAGGCAGGCGCGCAACACTTCGGCATTTATCAGAATCAGGCGCGTTTGTTCATCCATCTGCCAATGTCTGTCCAGCTGTTCTGGGTGGCTGACTGCTCGCGTGAGCGGACGGTTCAGCGACGTGCCAGGACGTGGTGCCTAGGCTTTTGCAAAGGGGCATCCTGAAACCCCTGCGCCTTCTGAGATCCGCCTGGCCTGCGCTACGGCATTCTCATCTAGGAGCAAGTCGGCCACGCCCTCTTCGTCGATCCTTGGAGAAAAAAAAAGGGAACTGGGCACTTCTTCAAAGTTTTTGGGGAAAGTCGGCCAAACTGTGCCAGGTAGCTCCACGTCATCGATCCACTGTTTGGACGTGAGCGCCCGGCACTTCAAGAACCATGCTGCCTGGTCCTTGGGGTTCCTCGGCGTTGAGGCATCATTCAGTGCCTACCATTGCCTACAATCCCCGAGAAGAGCAGTGAAGGGTTGGCAAGGATCTGCTCGAGAAGCTCTGTGCAAATGTCGATGCACTCGTCCCATCTTCTTTGCCGGAAGCGGCTGACTGCTCTGAAGAAGGGGTTCAGGGTCGCTCCTTCCAGGGATAGAAAAACGAATCGAGAGAATGTCTTCGTTACAGTACTTCGGTCAGCTATGGGAAAAATACTTCAAGCAGCGCTTCGGAACTGCGACGGCAGGCCCGCACCTGGGTCCCAACTCGACGATGCCATGGGGCGCGGCGGCCCTCTTTGAGGCCCGAGCCAAAGAGATGCTGCGGGATGCGGGCATTGGAGAGCTGCCGGGTCGCGACGAATCCGCCACTAAGGGTCTGATTAAGTTGTCCAGGCACGACACGGAGCTCCGAAAATCACCCGTCGAGATTTCTGGTAGACACGGCGCAGCTGCGGGTGCCAAACACGAAACTGAAATTCGGACCCTAGCAACTCGGAAATCTAGTCTTTCACCACTCAGAGAAACCCGACGAGTCCCAACGACGTCTGGGAGCATGTATGGGCATGCACGGAAACAGGCCCTCACCTAAGCCTTCAAGATCCTTCTCCGGGGCCCGCGCAGCATTGAACAGCTTGTGGGCCACGCGCCGCAGACGGTCGGGCTGAGACACGGGAAGTGAGAAGAAAGGGTCTGGTAGGCCAGGAAGCTTTGTGTCCATGAGCTCGCTACGAATGTTCGTCTCTTCGGTCTCTTCGGCTTGCAAAATTTGAGCGCTTGTGTCCTAGAGACGCCTCTGGCTCAAGGCCTGGATCTTCACCATCCTGGATTCCAGAATGCATTGCCCTAATCACTGCGTTGCAGCTTCGAACCAAACGACACGGCGCGGAGAGGAACAGTCCCAAGCCGCCACAAAACTTGGGCATCCCCTTCCGAACGATTCTCAGCATGTGCAAAGTCGTTGTCAGGCCTTCGCATCGCCCTCGCCTGCAAGCCGGGAAAAAAAACACACACACACACACACTCTACCCTAAACCCTGAAAGGCCCCCGTCATTCCTCGATCCATTCATTCTCTTTCGCAGACCACGGAACACGGGCCAACATATGCAATGTCCATCAAGAATGAAGTCTGTCTTAATCCCGTGTCGCTCCAAGATGCCCTTTCGCACTTCGCACATCACGTTCCCAACTTTGAAAGACTTCATTGTCGGCACCGTTGCCCACAACCCTAAAGCAACATCATGCTCAAGCAACCTGTACATCCTATACTACATGTCTTCAACCACGATTGCTCTCTGCAGTTGGGATTCCAGCCTCCTGGCACATCATGGGCGGACACCTCGGCCTGACACACCCCAAACTTCAAAAGGGATCGGGGTTGAGGGAGAAGACGCAAGGCTCTCCCGATTGTGGTTCTCCCTTACATGTTACATCGGCGTGTCGGCCCAAGCCAACTGCCGAATATTTGCTCGACCGGAGAACTCACCAAGTGGGGCTGCCGCTAGAGTCATACTTGCCCACCTGTGACCGACCTAATAATTACGCAGGCCCGCGAGTCTACGAGAAACACCTGTTTTTGTCCTCGGGATTCGTTGCAACTCCATGCCGTGTCACAGGTACCAAACAGGCGTCAACTCGGTCTATGATATGGATGTCCATGGCCACAGTAGCAGATGCTGCAATGAATAGTGGGCACCGCCACGTCGGGCGAGCCGTTGTCAGAGGTGCTGACAGTCACGAGCCAGTCGAGTCTGGACCTCCAGAAGTAACTCGCAACTCCATGATGTCATTCACCTTCGGGCAGGTGTAGACGCCGCATCTTTCGGATTCTCTTTCGGACACTTTCAGGCCATTCCACAGCACATCATCGCAAGCCGCCAATCTTGCAGACAGTTCGCAGAAGAGGCACGGAAACAAACGGGGCCTTAAGACTTGTTCGTTGGAGGAGCTCGTTGCATGCACTCTTCCTCAATTCTGCTGGAGGCCAAGTTGCAGCGCACGGTCTGACGGGTCGAAGAGGTGGACATGCCCCGGTCGAAAGTCGCGTTAGCGTACCCGGCTGATCCTGGCCTTCCAAATTTCCGGGCTTCCGCTGACATTCTTCCACCCCTCAGTTTCCGTTAAACGTGGTCACGTCTCCAATTCCAAGACCTCGCTGGAAGCATTGCCGTGGCTGGGGGGACGCCCTCGGACCTCGCTTTTGTCCGGAATCTGCCTCGGGTAACGTCCGGCGCATGCCGAAACCATGAGAACCACACGAGAGCCGAGAGTCGAAAAAAGGCTTCTTTGCCCGCATCAACATGCAAAGCCCAACCGACATCCCCTTGCCGACACAGCATCTGCATTGATTGCTTACCTGCGCCGCCTTGGGCATCCCATTCCAAGCTTTCCATGACAAGCCGTGCCTTGTTACACAGGCTTGATTGGAGCTCGCCTGGCCAGCTTGTGCCTGCTTGCTGCACGCACGTCGCGACGCAAGAACAGGTCGGGCTGAGACGGCAAGGTCCATGGAGCCTTCACCCGCCCTCGCCCAAACTGCCCGTGCCCAAGGCTGCGAGTCAACCAGGCAGCAGCTGCTCTGCCTGCTTTGCTTCCGTCTTCATGGCTTCAGCCTAGGTCGAGCTTCTGTCCAGAGCTTTGCGGTGAGGTTTTCCGGGCCTGAGCTTGTGAAGCTATCAGAGTCATGGTTTCGGGAGTCTGGACACCAGTCCTCAGGGCCCGAATCGCGTCCTCATTCCAAAGGGACTCGCTTGTAGAAGCAAACGTTTTGAACCGGAGTTGAATCTCGTAGCCCCGGGATCGGAGCAGATGCGCAATGGCAGCAGGATCGTAGAGGGCATCCGCTTCCCGGAAGGGCCACATGGCTAAAGCAATGGCTTGGATTGAGCCGGGGCTTAGGCGATCGCGGAGGGACTTCAGCACCATCTCCTCCCGGCCATCCACATGAACTCGAAGCAAGTCCACGGTTCCGCTGACACCCCAAGCTGAAGTCAGGATCTCCTCCAAACTCGCTGCTTCACAGTTCGACGCCTCTGGGCCTGCCTCCTCAAAGGCCCATTCTGGGTTCCGGGTGTCGTAGATGCTTCCCAGCAAGGAGGCACGGCACGCACCCGCTTTGTCTGATACGAAGGCCTGACGGACAGCAACTCGATCGGCGAGATTGTTCCAAGTGGCCGTCATTCGCAGCGCCTCTGCTGCAACCTGGTGGGGTTCCACAGCTACGGCAGAGGCGGCAGGGACTCTCGTCAAAACGTGGAATGTGCAGCCTCCCAAGGAAGGTCCGACTTCTACAAATCGGAAAGCAAGGCTTGCAGCCCCTGGGAGCAGTTCCTCTAACAGATCTCGAAATGCTCCGGCGCAGTGGAATTTTCTCAAACCCCTCACGCGATTCGCTTCCGTGAACGGCAGAGGCAGGAGGCGCATCCAAAACTGACTGGGGCCAAGGGGCGTAGTCACAACCGACCAGAGGCGACAGTCTAGGCGGTCCAGCAGGGCGAAGAATGTGTCTGCACCTGAAAACATGAACTGGTCCAGAAGCCTCCTGTCCCGGATCGTGCAATCAAGATTTGCCTGAGCTGAAGCAAGTAGTTTCCATATTTGAAGGCCTGCAGCATCATCCCAGGTAGGGCCAGCCTGAAATCTGAGGCTGTCGATCTGCAGCAAGTCTGAGACGACCAGAGGGAGCGTGCATGGTCCGATCGGGTCGGGAAGGCTCAAATACATCGGCCCATCGGACGTCACTTGCGACTTCAGCGTCCTCCACCAGCCGCGATGATTCATCGACACGTGTCGCCGTTTCAGCTCGCTGCCCAGCAAAGGTGAAGCCCTGAACAAGGCCCTAATGAAACTCACCGCACGGAAAAATGGTGCTGAGGACCAGTGAGCTGGGTCGAAGTGACGGAGGAGACCTCCGTCAGTCATGAGCCGCAGCAGGTGCCTTTCGCCGATCCGCACCCACTGCTTGGCCTCTGCTCTGTGCACGAGCCACTGCGACGTGTTGGTTAAGTTGAGAGGTCGGTGGTGTCTGGAGAGTCTAGGCACGAATCGGTTCAGCAGCTCGGCTGCTTCTGCTAGAACCGCCGTGCCCGTCAGATCTGGACACAAGCTGTAATCGCGAAGTGCTGCAATGCTAGAGATTGAACGAGGGCGCGCCCAATGACCCTTCCATGGCATTCGTTGATTCAGCACTCCGCGTTTGTCAGAACATGGAACTGTTCCCGGTTGCATTGGCATCTAGAAAGGAGGCCTTGCAGCCAACGGCTACAGTGTGCCCCTCTTCCGTTGAAGGGTCGGTAGACCTCTACTGGCGCAGTGTACGGGCTGCCTCTAGGAAGCGTGCATCCCGTATAAGTACATGCACGAAAGGTGCATGCACACCCTGAACTGGTGGGAAGCTGGGGGAAACGAAAGAAACCTTCCTCGCAGGGCACATGGCCGGCATGGCCAACCCCAAGAATACTCATTAAGTGATCCTCTGCTACCGTGGGGTCAGAAAGAAAAAGAAACAGCGAGCAGTCAGTCCGTTGCACAGTCGGCATCCACTCGTCACAAGGACAGGTCAGAACACCCCTTCGGCCTGCTGACTTCCCAACAGCATGGTGCCAGCATGACATGGCTATAGACGCTGCGCGAGCTGTTTTTGTATTTCTGGCATTTGGATCATTCGATGACCCTCCTTCTCGAAGCGTCACGTCTTCCAAGCGACACCCCCTGGCGTTGTTCAGCTGCTGAATGAATTCCTCAAAGACCTCTGGTCCCTCGCTGAAGTTTGGCCACTCGAAGATGCGTGCGAGCACCATGCCTCGGTGCTCGTCAAGAGAGGGATGCCACCGCATTCTCAGCTCAGACGGGCAGCGCATCATGCAGGCAGTGTCATGCAGCAGCCCTGAGCTACGTTTCCGGTCAAGCCATGGATGTAAGACGAAGACCATCCCAGAAACCGTCACGCGACTGCGCTCGAGCTTGGTAACTTTGCAAGCCTTGATGCCCAGAACTGCCCACTGGGCTCAGCTTGGCACAGCGCCAGCCCCTCATGCTTCTGGGGCGCAGGCAGTACAAACGGCGATTGCTCATGCATAAGAGTCCTCTGCACGTTGGCACACGCACACACGCACTTCACTCACCACACCTAGGGAGCCAGGGCATTCAAAACAAACTGGCTCTTCTTTCGTCCGAAGGTCGGTCACCGTACTTCACCACTGTCAGCATAAACCAGGGATCTTCTGGATCTTCGCTCCCTCGGAGAAGTGCTCGGATCTTGGCCTCCGGCAGTCGAGGAAGCTTGAAAGCGATGGCAGGTCGAAGTGCGGTCGGAGCCTCCAGCCATTGCCCGCTGTGGAATCTGGCACTGATGCTGCTCTGCCTCGCTCGATTGGGACGCGGCAGCCTGGCGAGCTCTGAAAGCCCCCCGAGGCCCAGGCGTGAAGCGCAGCGACTGGCAGTTCACCTGCCGTGGGGTGGCTTGGGTGAAGGCAAGGATTCCCCACTTCAAGGCTTGACGGGCGGGTATGGTCTGCATCCCGTGCTTTTGTGCAGGAATAAAGTGCGTGTAGAGTGTTTGCCAGGGTCGCGAGTACCAGGTGGCACACCTCTGTTGGCTCCGGCATTGACCAAGAAGGTGCTCAAAGCGAGTAAAACTAGCAGAGGAGCGACTGGGGCACTAATGATTACAAGGCGGAGTTTGATACACATTTTGCATTTCTATACACAGACTGACATATGTTTCATCACATATTACGAACTGCCTGTACCTTTACCAAGCCTCCCCAAAGACTCAGCCCTCCGGCCTCGGCCACTCGCCCAACGCCGCTGCACGGCGCAGCGCATATGAGGGCCTCAGCTCCGGGCTTTTCCTGTATTGCGCATAAGGTTATGAGGGTGAGGATGCAAGGATAAACCCAGATTTCATTTGTTGAAGTCCGTGCTCGGATCCTGCACCAGCTGAGAACGTACTTCGGATCATTTGCTTTCACTAGCCACAACAGAAACCACCACAAGTAAGTAGTCTTATTCCACAGCGAAAAACAGAATATAGGAAAAAGCTGCTTTTAACCCATTCTGAGAGATGCAGATTTGCAGCCTGTAAATTATGAAATCGTCGGCACCGCAACACCTGTCACCTCGAAACATTAGCACCTTTGAAAGCACTAGCAGCTGATACCAGCAATAGCACCAAGAGAGCAAGCTTCTGATTTGCACGGCCGTCGACCTTCGCAGCACTCGGACGCAGCGCGAGGCGCGGCAGCGCGGCGAGAAGCTCCGGGCAGGGTGCGGCCTGGCAGGAAGTGGGAAACTTTAGAACACTTCTTGGATGGTAGTGGGGTGCTCGTTTGTAGGGGCACTTCATCGTGAGGACACTGCATCTGCCTTGCACAGATATATATATATATATCTATCTATCTATCTATCTATGTATGTATGTATGTATGTATGTATGTATGTATATAGATAGATAGATAGATAGACAGAGAGATAGAGATAGGGATAGAGATAGAGATAGAGATAGAGATATACATATAAAAACACATATAAGTGTGTGTATATATATATATACATATATATTTTGTAATTATTTACGACAGTTAAACACAGACACCACCCACACACACACACACACGCACACACACACACACACCAGTTCATCCCAGTTTCAGGACTAAGCCTTTGACTAAGCTTCAACTCATGGAAAGGAAGGCGTGCTGTTGGGGCTCGTTGGCTGTTCGAGCATCCCTCGTGCACTGTCGAAGGTTGCAGATCACACTCAAACTTAAACTGCAACTGGGGCATGCTGAGATGCTATTCCGTAACTTCCCTGGTTTCCAACACGCCGGTGCAGAGAAGCGACGAGCAGTACGTACTCTAGGCATGCAGACAGACTACATGATGCCTCCATCTCCTGATGACACCACGTAGTTACTGCAAAAAAGTAAGGAGCCTGCAAAGCCGCATCCATCGCACGCTGTCCGGGGCTGACCTCGACCAGGGGCTTTTTCTGCCAGAAGCAAGCGGTGCTCACAATAATAATAACAATAATAACAATAAAAATAACAATAATAATAATAATACTAATAGTTGCTATTATTATTTTTTTTGATCTTTTTTGTTTATTATTAATAGTAATTATACTACTAATAAGATTAGTAACAATAATAATAATAATAATAATGAAGACATATGCAGACACTGCAGCCAACGCCACTCTCGCATCCGCCATAGATGAGTACAGCAGGAGGACCTCGCTGCAGAAGGGGGTTGGCCAAATCCGCTTTAAAGGGTTTCGGTGATGAGGAATTGTTGTATGAACTGTTCGGCCTGGTCCCAGCTGCAAGTTCCATCATCGCCGCCATCATGTCCGCAAGTGGCCATTAAAGAATCAAAGCTCGCTGAATCCAGGCCCAGCCCAGCACATCGAGCAGCCAGAGCCAGCTGCAGTGCGTGACACCAGCCGCGAGCCTCAAAAGTGGCCAGAGCTGCATTGTGGGCCGCGATGCTCTTGAGGCGAGCTGACCCACACCTCAACCGACACAAGAAAAAGCCCCTGCGTCAACCTGTTTGCCCTGAACGTCAACAACAAGTCTAGGACCAGGACCCGTGCAGCAGACCTCGTGCACGCTGCCACATGCCCTTCATGGTGCTGATGGCGGCCGTCATCCTGAGTCATAATGCATCTCGAGGCTTCATGCGCAGAGACCTCCTGCAGCTGAGCTACATTATGCCGTCTGGTCTTGTGCTGCCTGCTTGGGCGCTGCACGTCGCACTGAGAGCTTGCTCCCAAACGCCGTGCAGTTGCATGGCCTCGTGGCGTTTGCACGGACACCCTGTGCGGACGGGCTCGCGCAAGCGTGAAGCCAGGCTGCGCTGATCGCCCCCGTTCTGGCCACAACTCCCTCCTTGCCTCACTTGGGTCAAAAAACACCACCACAGGGCGTCGGAGCACGGTCAGGTCAAGAAACCGTGTGCAAAAGGCAGGGCCGCGAGCACGGCAAGCTGCCATCGCCCATGCCTCTGCAGACCGTCTGCTGGAATGACTCGAGTGCACCCCAAGAAGAGGCCAGAACTCGATATCGCACCGCGCCTTTTGAAGCACTTTAGGGCACCCGCGCGATTGACCTCGTTGGGCACGCCACCTGTTCATCGTTGGATGGGTGCCCAATCTTTGTCGGATAATTTCGTGTGATTCCCGTGCCTCCAGCTCTCATGCTTAGCAGCAGGCTCAAAGCAACATCCCACCGACCATCCTGCACATGCAGAAAACCTTGCTCCGCCCACTCTGCGAGCAAGGAGTGCTCTATAGACTCTATTGCCGGTGCAGCTTTGGCACAGGATGCGCAGCAGCCATGGTTGTGGAAAAGCTGATCTGGTCCGCTCGCAAGGCAGAGCCTCTCCTTAAAAAACACATGCAATTGCAGCCAAAGGAACCCGGAGAGGACCGAAGAGCAAAAGTGCAGTTAAGGAGCAGTTCTTGCAAGAGTGCCAACGACAGCTGCCACCGACCACTGTGACTGCATGCCTCGGACAATCGAAGTCCTGAGGTCCGCTGGCTTGAACCCAAGGCAATCTGACTACCTTTCTGCAGGAGAGCTGCATGGATGGCCACATTGAAAGCCAAGGTGTCCCGCTTGGCATTGGTGCAGCGCGTGAGGCCGAAAAGGAGCAAGGCAACCTGCCACTCGCCTGCACAGGCCGAGCAATTCACCCTGACTGGGACACGAGTGACGATTATTCTACTGAAGGAAGCAACATTGATTGAAAACAAGTCCTTGGTTTGAGAAACACAAGCAAAATCCAGCCAAATCATCATCATCATCAACAACAACACAATCCTCATCATCATCACACTCGTCATCAGCCGCAGCATAGTTTGCAGGATGGTGGTAGAAGTGATCGCAAAACGCACCGAATGGCAGTGGTAGTATGACCATCACAACAACAAAAACAACCAGCAGTTCACTCTCCAGAAATTGCCCTGCCTTCTTGCAAGCAGGCACTCATGGAGGCACTGTGCGTTATCTTCGTGGGCTGCAGCCTGACCAGTACAGCCCTCGCAGCTTTCCGATTGGCCGACGGCACATCCAACATGGGCTTCCAGCCTCGCACGCCTCATGTCATGGAAGAGCCATAGGGCCCACTGCCACTGGCTGCTCGCTTTGCAAGCACTAATGCACGCGTTGTATGCCTCGGGAACCACTCACATCTGCCAAGCCTGCATGGCCACATTTCTCAGCCAGGATGCGTTCGTGGAGCGAGGGAAAGAGTCCTCTTGAAGAAGATGGAGAGCTCTATGACTCGAGGTCCAAACTCCAAGACAGTCCTCGGACATGTGGCTCCAATAGACCAAGGCCAGGCGCCAGTTTGCCCCTGCCAGCATCCGTCCAACCACTGAAAGCCTCACCAACCCAAAGTGCTCCCTGGCCTATCTTGCATGCATCAATGACCGCGTTGTGGCCTTGGATGCACTCCCGACGGCTGCTAAAGCGAGCCCACAACTGCCACGTGCTGCCAAAAGACTGACTACGTCGCGGGCGACAGCCTCGGAACACGTGAAACTGCGAGGCTTTTGACCATCGAAGCTCTGAGGATCCCCGAGGCCTCTCAGCCAGGTGGCCAGAAACGCAAAAACTCGAAAAGCGAGTTTCAGACCGAGACACTGCTCGCGGCATCCCTGCGAAGAGCCGCAAAGCCAGGGGCCAGCGACGAGCCCTTGCGCAGGCCGTGATGGCCGCGTTGTAGGAGACGGCATCCGGCCTGGCTGCTGTAGTCCCCGAAGCCTGAGCCTGCTTTGGGCCTTCAGCTGCGAAACCTAAAAGCGACCCACCCAAAGGTTCTGGCCAGGCACGCAAAGTGCCGCGAAGACATGTCGGCAAGAACTTGAATCGCATGCTGCCATCTTTTCCCCTTCCCACACGCGGCAATCGCCATACTAAAGCCTGGGCGAGGCCGGTGCCGCAGGACGCCAGATGCAAACAGCATGAAAAAAGAATGGGTTGGTTCATTGTTCGGACTCGGCCAACACCTTTCGGCCAGGCAGCATGCTGTGTCCGGCCCCTGGCTTTGCCGAAGGATGTCTTCCAGCGCTGTCCTTGAAAAAAATACTCTCCGTACTCTCCAGCGCTGGAGACAAGAACTGTTGATTTGGAGCCGAGCCACAGCACCTGCCCCCAGTCGCCGGCTCGCTTTGCTTCTCTGATGAGCTCTGGCCCCTCCAGGGCTCTTGCAGTGGAGCTGGCCAGGTCCATCTCCAAATTCTGATGCTTGAAAGTGAGAAATGCTGCGGCCCAGAAATTGTCGTGGCTTCAAGGGCTTCTCAGCCTCTTCCGTGTCTTACTATCAACAGCTGCTGAGTCTGACTCCAAGGAGCTTGAAGTCGGGCCGAGGTGTCGAGTCGGAGACCAGAAGCTGCACCTGCAATGAGCGCATCGAGCACCCGGCTTGGCCTCCTGCCTCCTACTCTCGGACAGGATACAATCCACCAGGATCCCCACCCAGTTCCCTGTGGAGCATGAAAGGACAACAGCAGCAGAGGCAGAGAGCTAGGGGCGGCAGCAGAATTGGCGGCCAAGCATAGGCATCCAGGCAGCAAATGCTGTTGCAGCATGATTCAATGATTTTCCTGTCGTGAGAGCTCTGCCACGATGCTACAGAGTTCACGGTAGGCCGTCAAAACGGCTCGAAGCTTGCTGGCCATGGCTTCCCGCTCTTCGGGGCTGGCACCTGGATTGTGATCCGGATGGAGCTTCATCGCCTGGCGACGAAAGGCTTCTTGGGCCCGACCGAAGCAGCAACCGAGGTCAAGCCCAAGTACAGAAAGATGTGGCTGGGCACGTGGATCTGTGATGACAAGCTGCGATCGCTGCACGCCCTGGCTTGCCGTCGTGGAAACAAGAGGAGTCTCTTGTTCGGGGTCCGCTTGACTGACTGTCTCCTCTCTCCCGAACATGCTGCTGGTATGCCTGGCAACGATGGACTGCTCCCAAGACGGAGAGCCACTGCCGGCGCTTGCATGTTGCGAGGCTCTGTTGTCTGCTGCACGGGCAAACCACCAGTTGCGGAACAACGGCAAGCAGCGTGCCACCAGCAAACCTGCCAAGGATGCGGCAGCTGCAACGGCGAAAGCGGCGGGCCCCGCAAGCACAGGCAGGGCGGCCATGTCGGACGCCAGAAAGCTTCCTGCCAGACCGACTCCGAGACCGAGCACGGCAGCTTTAACTTCGGAGTACATCTGCTCGCCGGACACCTTCCCCGTAGCACCGCCCACGAATCGCTTCAGGAGCCTCTGCCCGTAGCGAGCGGTGAAAACATAAGCTGGCAGGTACACGGACTGAACATGATACTCCTCCACACGAACACTGCCGATGGTGGTTCTCGCGACTTGGGTGCAGCCTGGGTGTGTGTGGCGCATCTCCTGTTCTGCCAGGTTCGTCAAGGCAGTCTCCATGCGGACCTGCGCTTCTTCCCGTGTCCCCTCTACAGTTATGCGAAAAGGATCCAGTGCCGGCTCTTCCTTGATGTTGAGGGCCGAAGCATCGAAGGGGCTTGCAGACGCAACGACACGACCCTTGACAGCCTCCAGCAATGCTTCTGGATAGCGGAAGTCAGCATAAATTTGCATAGCAGAATCCCCTCCCTTACCGTCCAGGTGAATACGATCCAGAGAACCGCGTACCCAGAAGTAGTCAGTCTTCGTTTGGGTCGTCTGCTTGCCATCACTTGAAGTAACGACTTTCGTGCGTGCGTAGCCCACTTGACCCGTGTACTTCGCGCTCACCACCGCATTCACGACCCGGAATGGAAGGAACACGGCCCGCACGCCGCCGCTGTCAGGCTGCCAGGCGACGAGAGCGGTCGAGGTCGTCCCAGACACTTCACTCGGCAGCGGTGCCATCCAGCGGTCCTGCTCATGTTGCGTCAGCGACCTCACGGCATCTTCCTGCGTCAGTTTGAACCTCACCACATGAAGTTTGGGAGCCCTCGACCGCTTTTCGCGGCCTCGCCGACTTGGCCGTGTGGAGATGCGCCGCACCTGGCTTTGGTTGCCTGCCGTTTCGCAAGGTCCAAGACAGTCGAAGAGCGATCTGCGATCAAGGCATGGCTTCCATGAGTGCAGTCTTGCAGATTTCTGCACCACCCTACTGCTAATTTGCAGCAACGAGGACATGCTGGGCTGAAAGGTCTGGGCAACATGTCCCGGCACAGATTTGCACAACCAGGCTTTTGTAATGCAGCAAAAACCAGGAATCAGTGATGCAATGGCATGCAGATAAAACGAGCGCAGCCTGTCGAAAGGAGTTGGCGGAATCAATCGCGCATCAGATTCGCAGAACCAAGTGGTGCACCGTAGGCTCCACGTGGCATCGTCGCGCCTTAGGGCCGGTATTGCTGCAGGCTCCGTGTGCTAGCCGTTGTCCCTTGCCCTGGACCACAAATTAGATCTTTGGGGCAGGTCAGTCCAAACCTCTTGCCAAACCTCCATGGAACTCTAGCCGCAAGAATCGCCGCAGCAGAAGCGCTGGGCAACTAGCAGACCTTTCACAGCTTGCGCTGCAAGCTAAGATTTGAAGTCACACTTGACGATCAGATGCTGTGCTGCGTAGGGGGCTTCTCTCCCAATCTATCTGATGTATCTGTGATCACACTGACGAGTCCGTTCTCTCGTGGGCGCAAACAAGTGCTTCCAGCTGGTTTCAACATATTTCGGCTACCAACAGGCCTTTCAGCCAGCAGCATCTTGGAAAGGAGTGGTATGGCAATGAGACAGTGCGCATGCCACCTGGGTCTGACAATAGAGCCGGGACTGACTTGGCCTTCGGCCATAACAGTCGCCCAAGCATCTATCACTGCTTTGGGACCACACAAGTTGCTAGCTTTGTGCAACTCGCAGCCCGCTTTCAGTCCATTTCTTTGACGGCCACCGTGAGAAACGCACCTTCATGGGGGTTAGTGTGCATGCGCGAATCTGAGTGGCCGACGACACTATTCAGAACCGTTTCTACACCTTGCTTCATGAACTTGGAATTTCTTGGCATTGACCTTGTGGGCCTCAAGTTTTGCTACACAGTGCTGTGAAAAGCAGTGCTCGAGACTCCTCGCTCGAAAATACAAACCGACCTGCATACTACTGGATCAAGGTCAACGAATCCTGAATACCGAATGCTGAATGCCAGTATACGCAGGGCTTCGGGGCATCGGGGGCCGTGCCTTTCTTGGTCTTGCCAGGCATGGCCTAGGCCAAGGGATCACAAACATGCGTCTAGCAGGACTTTGAACCCCCGCCAGACGGCGACAAACTGGGCCGACCGCCTTTCCCTTCTCGTCCACCAGCTTAAGGGTGCCTGCAAGCAGTGCATCATTTCGTCAAGATACAGAATCGACTACGTTGAGAATAAACCTGGTTAACAGTTTGCCCCATCTATCTATCTATCTATCTATATACAGAACCGAGGTGCCGCTGAAGTCCTGCAGGATATCCTCAGCAGCAAACCGATAAGTTCCTCTTCCTCCGACTCGTCCGACTGTAAAGAAGATGTTGTCAAACTGAAACAGCTCTGGCCCCTTTTTAGCCTGCTACGTGGATGTGGGGACCCAAGATAAGCAGAGCCCAGAGTCGTCAAAGCGCAGTGTGCACTTGCCGAGGAAGTCGTCAGATTTCCCCGTGTCCTCGTCGTAAACGGTAAAGTCTAACGAGTCCTTGGCACCCGCTACGCGAAGCCGTGAAAGGAAGGGCGCACGCACGCACACGCACACACACACACACACACATCCTGTCTCTCTGGGGGGGCCACTCCATGCTTGAGCTGGATCTTTTCCAGATGGTTCCACTTGATGACTTCTGCGCCTCGAGACTCTGAGGCCGAGTACAGAGTGACATGGTTATTCTCATGTTATACTGGATCCAGAAGCATCAACGACAGCCCAGAAGCGGATGTTCGACAGTGTCGGCGTGCGGATTTCCCCACTGCCCTGGCACACGACTTGTCACAAGACTTGTCACAAGACAAACGAATCGACAAAAGCCGCAGCAAACAGTGCAGGCATTGTGCAAGCGGCCTTTTGCGCTGCTAGACTTGAATGCCCATAGTCGACCTCTCGACTTCCGTTGATCTGCCGCTAATTGGCGGAAGGAAGTTCGTCGATACCTTGGCAAAGAGGTGCTCGCCGTAGATGAGGGCGCCACCTTCCAGGCCCCGCTTTAAGGGCCCGGTGCTGGCGACCAGGGACGAAGCCGCGGGATCTGCGCCGGGTCGCAAGGCTGTCACTTCCAGCGCTCGGATTTCCTGTGTTGGCACTATTTGTCTTCAGTGCTCCAGTCACCAAATTCAAAGGTCGTAGGATGCAACATTGCCAGCAAAGAGTTTTTGGCAAAGCTCTCGGCCAAGTCTCTGCATCGAAGTTTGGCTCGTGGAAGTATGCGATCGATGTCCTGGCAGGCGAGATTCTCCAACACTTCCATGACATCCTCAGACCAACTCCAACACGTCCTGAACTCTCGGGTGGTCTGGCGGACACGATGCCGTGTTGCCACATAGCGCCCTTTCGTCCACACACCTGACGGCTGCAGTTCTGCAAGGTTGAGCGGCGCTTTTGTAGGGTGTTCAATGCGTTCCGGCGCGGCTTGCCATGGCTGCAGTCGGGGAACTCAGCATGTCCCCCAAGTTTATGACGAAGGCTCCAGGTCGCGGTTGCACTTTGCCCCAGGTGCCATCCGCGAACCGCACCTCCAGGGCATCGGGGGTGTCATCCTGGCGCAACTTTCGCTGGCCGGTACATAGGCACATGAGAAGCCGACAACGTCCTGGGAAAGGATGGTCCAGCAGCCGTAGTCCGAGTGCTCACCACAGGACAGGCCCACCTCCTTACCCTCAGACAACGCTGGATAGCCGATCACGCGTGCGCACCAGAAGCTGCGGTCTGTGAGGCCGCGGAATTGGGCGGGAGGCATGCCGAAGGCGACCGCCATCGCCTCAGTTGTGGAAACGTCCGTGAGCAGCCCTGGGCTGAATGTCGCACAAGTGTTATGAGGCCCAGCGGCATCCATCAAGCCATCCCCGACTCGCCGCATCTCTGCGAAGTATCCTTCTGCATGTCTCCGAAAACCGGCAGGCTCCTCTGGCCAGCGGTTCCGAGCGTGCACGAAGGCTCGTACTTGCTCCAGCTGGCTCTCTCGCATATTCGCCGGCGAGTCTGCAAATCTGCCGAGCTCCACCGCGTCAGGCCCAGGCTCTGCATAGAAATCAATGGCTTCGTGCCAGTCACGCTTTTGCAGCGTTACGTTCTCACCCAGCCTGGAGGAAACCACGCACTTGAGCATCTTCGGCGTGGCTCCACACGGGCACTGACACCAGGCCTCTGGTAACCTCGGCCAGTGGAAGACTGTGCTGGTAGAGCTATCGCCTCCTGCATGCAAGACGCATGAGCAGCATTAGCATGTCGCAGCGGCCACTGGCGACGCTCACAAGGCAGTCCTTGGACGCAGCCGGCAGGCTGAAGAACTCCTTGGCCAGCTGATGCATTTTCTGCTGGCTCTCGGCTGGCACGCCGTGCCCCTCCAGGTAGAAGAAGCCAACGCCGCCTTCCATACATCTATCCAAATACCGGACTGAAGCTTTCGCAACTTCGGTGCCGTTCGTTCGTTGAAACCCCCGGATAAAAACATCATCAAAACAAAATCTACAGCGTGGCATGGAAGCTTGCACGAGTCTGCCGACACTGCCTTGAAGTCTGGGCATGGAAAATAGCCTCTACAAGAACCCTGTCCCTGCTAAAAATGGGTACTTCCAGACCCCTTCCCGACCTTAGGCAACACTGCAGCAAGCAGAGAAATGTGCCCAGATCCCGGTCGAGGTACGGCAAGCATCATCCAAGCTCTGCGCCGCTGCAGCGCGGCGCTCGGGGCTGGCGGCGCCGTCCTGCAAACTGTGGGGTTCACTCGGTCGCTTGTGGAGTCGACGAGGCTGCGCAGGAACTCCACGTGAACCTGACTACATCGTCCGTAAGGACACAACCTGCTGGCGAGGGTCAAGAGGGTGTGTCAACTTGCATCACTACAGGAGCTGCTGAGACCGCACAGAACCCACACGACCACATCTTTGAGCCGTGCAGAAGCACCGAGCCTTCTCCAGGAAGGGTGCGAGATTCACCACTGGCAGCGACGAGAATCCACTGCCTCTCTGAAGAAAACCTCGGGCGCCACGGCGATATCGTCGGCTCTAGAAAATCTTCAGCCACCCTTGCAGAGCGCTATACGGCATGTATGCTGCTTAAGCAGGAATCCGGATTTGGGGGGACCAGTTGTACAATTAAACTCTGCAGTGAAATCGCGCAAGGTTGGACGGTGCACGGCGTCGCATTTAGGAATCATGAGGAAAAAACTCACACAGGAAGCGGGGTCTCTGACATCAGGAAAAGTTTCGAAACTAAGCGCCTCCCTACCTGTACTACCGGTCATCTCTCTCGGAACTTATGCGGCAGGTCTCTCGCACTGTCTCCCCCGAACTTCAAAAGCCCGTGCCTGCGCGGAAAAGCAAAGTGCTGGGACGACGCACGGCCGACATGTGCAGTGCGTCCCCAACAATTTCTTCCTTCAGGCTTGAGACTTCAACATTGGAGACGGACTCGGTTTCAAGCCAGTGACTTTGCTGGTGTCGTGTCATACATGGATCACAGCAAGGGAAGCTAGGGCTAGGCCTAGGCTGCAGATTGATCCAAAAATGGCCGAGCATTCAACATGCCGCCCGTGCTGTGCTCTTCACTTCTGGAAGCCGGCTGCAGTCTGGCGGCACAAAGAGTAAGACAGGTCAGGCCCACCTTGCCCGAGACGGTGCACTTCACGTATGGATCGGATGTGCCCGTGAACCAATCCTCGTGGAACTCACATGCGAGGCCTGTATCAGATACCGTATCGCCTGAGTGGCCTCCCACTCCTACAGAGGAGCCCCCGAACCCAGTAATTTAGCGCCACATGCCCGCAGGACCCAGCCGAAGAAGAAAGCATCAACCTTTCCTTCCGAGCCACTGCATCACGAAGTCCCTTGGCCCCTTGCACCGTAACTTCCACCGTGTAGTCCTGGCGGTGTAAAAAGAAGCTTCCATAGGCCAGCCTTGCAGAAGAGGCTGAAGAAGCGCTGAGAGCCTCCTTCGGCTTCGCAGGTTCCGCCACCTGTGAAGGACTCTCGTGGGCTTGGACTCAGCTCTCGAGACGCATGGTGGAGGTGTGGAAAGCTGTTTGCGATGCGCGGACCTTCCAACAAACACATCCAGAGCAAGATGCAAATCCCCTTCAAACCAACAGCATTCCAGAAATCCCCGGCAAACCCCCTCAGCTTTGAAAGCCCTGCAAGAGTCTCGAAACACTTCAGTCTGGCTGCCTTGGCTTTCGCCTTGGGCTTGGGAGTGGGTCCCTGCCGCAGGGCGGGACCTGCTGCAGGCGCTAGGCCTGCCAGGGCTTTTATATATATATATATATATATAAATTGTAATATAAATTGTAATATATTATAATATAGTATAATATAGTATGGTATAGTATAATATAATATAATATAATATAATATGAAGGCGGGGTTCAATTACCAGTTCTCGTTCTTGACATCCTTGTGGTTCTTAAGTCCACCCTGACACCCGTCTACCTTACTTCATGCGGCTGGTATCGGCTGGTGTTCGATTGATGCATAAGACTTCGGAAGGTGAAGGTGATCCGCAAGTGGGATGCGAACCGCACAGCCACTCTCTGAGCATACCGGGGCCTAGATTGCCTAGATATTCCTGCAAGTGTCTCTCTTGCAGAAGCATGCTTCGACCTCACAGAAGCGACAGGTCAAAGGCCCAACACCAAAAAATCCTAATCTCTGTGGCGGGAGACCCCAAAGTCAGGATCTTTGAATCGAGGTGCTGAATCTCCTTGCTTTTGCGACGCCACTTGCCAGCAACGCCATCCTCACCGGACAAGAATCAAGATGCCCCACTGGCGCACTGGCAGTCTGCCAAGCCAAGCCACCGCTTTCGATACTCCAGCTCCTGCAGCTCAGGGGGGAGGGAAGGAAACGAGCTCTGAAACGACGGCCTCGTCGAGCTCGACTACGAGAGGCACCCCAGGATGGATTTCGTATTCAAGCGCCTCACTGCAGTCACCGCAAAGGAAACGAGAAAGCTCTGCAACCAGAGTTTGTAAGCACTGGGCCTCTGCGTCCGTGTCATCCTCAAGTCCCTGACAGATGGCCTCGGAGGTGTCCGACGGTGTGCGGCACGACCATTGAAACGGCAGCTGTACTCGGCTGTTTCTACCAAGGTGCTCTAACGGACCCTTCATGCGCCACCACCAGCGGCGTCTTGCCACTAAGCAGAAAGGGCGCGATGGCGTCCTTGGACCGATTCCAGGAAAAATCCAAGAAGACTGGTCAGCATCCATATTGAAAGCCGCGGATCGTGCCAGAACGGGCGGGTTCGGTCCACGACCATCCTGCCAGAAGCTCCGATTCACAACCACGTGCACTGGATGCGGTATAGCCTCTGGCATGCACGATTGTAGCCGGTAAAAAAAGCCTGTAGGCCCATAAGTCAACGAGCACAGTCACAAGCTTTCTTTGCATGCAAGAGACTTCATCGACTCGGAGCCGGGTCGTGCGCTGGAGGGCACACCCCTGAGTCAGTTCTGGCATGGCCAGGAGCATGTTGCATGTTGCAAGCACCACAACGATGCGGTGCGGGAGAGATGGTCCGAGAAGGCCTGTACAAGGGGTCGTTGGAGGGATGCGCGGCATCCGAGATGCCCACTGCCGGAGGAGCGGCCTGCTGAGAGGAATCAGGTCAGTGCATCATAGCGTGTCAGGGACATGTCATGTCTGCACACACCGTACACAGTGCATGCATGTATTCCATTTGCATCACCTATGAGTATATCTCAATGTGTAACAGTGTCTCGATCATCGTATATTTTGCTTGTGTGGTTTGTTGCTATTGTTCCTTGCGACGCGGACGTGAGGGGAAAGGCGAATTCAGGAACCGGTTGGGATGCTCAGACTGGGAGAATCTCCGGATCGGCGTCACGAAAACCCGGACAGTGCGATCTGATGAAGCAAAACAGGTGCATGTAGGCATTCGCGGCCCCACCTACAACTTAAGTGTATCTGCACTCTCGCTAAGATGCTATCCTCTGCCACGCCTCCTTGGGATCCTCTTCCGCTGAAGGCTTCGCCTTGCCCTGGTACACTCCCCAGTGGCGATCGTTCAGTCGGAAGTTCTGGATATGCCTTGCATGGAAGCCCTGCTAGCATGCCAACACATGTCGCACTCATTGGCAGCATTGGCTCTCCTAGCAACCGAAGCTACTCCATTAAGTCGACTTCGGTCGGTCACGTGCAGAAGAGAGAGATTGGGATGGGCCAGGGTAGAGTGGCATGTAAATATAGCAGATCAAGATTTGTTCGCAAGCAGCACAGGCAGCGTCTGATACGATAGGTTGATCATGTTGCCGCGCAAACACGGGAGAGTGCTGTTTCGGCACCTGTCGAAAAGAATAGGCATCCTGGCTGGTGCAGTTAAGCTTCGGCAAGGCCACACGATCGCCTTGCATTAGCGCTAGCCATCCAGTGCAAATGGCCTCCGCATAAATGCGTCATCCACACAGCATTGGCCGGAGCGTCATTGCAGTGCAGAGTCAGTGCAGAGCGGCCTGCTTCTGAACCGAAGTGAAAAGCGCATCGAAGCTGAAGCCGGCATCCGTCCTTGGTACAACTTTCGAGTCTGAAGCTGATGCAGCAAGACCTTGGCCTGCTCAATACTTGAGACAAGTTTCAGGAGCTTGCCGGCCTGGTGAACAGATGAAACGAAGCGCAAGGGCCACGCACCCGCCTAGTGGCGTAGCCGCCCCGCATGCCTTTTCCCAGAATCCCCGACTATGTCCGGCGCCTGCTCGGCCTGCTCCTTCCCTCTGGCGCTCAGCCCATCTTGGGCCCAGCCGGTGCAGATGCCCTGACCGGCTACGCTCCCACATTTCCCGACTCCCCTGTGGCCCAGGTCCCGTGCCTTTGCTTGCAGCTCTGTTTCTGCACAAGGCAGCAAGACCTGGGAAACGACCCAAAATTCGGAGAGATGTGGGAAGGGTCGAACTAGAAAAGGTCATTGCAAAGTGGCGGCAACAATCGGTCCAAAACACGCATGCCAACAGACCCCCATGCCATGCCTCGCATAACCTTGCGTTCAAGCGGCGATCTTCCTTACTGCCATAGCCACTTTCGGACCAAACAGGAGATGCTATAACTCTGAAGCCGAAATGGCACAGCCAAACACCGGCGAAAGCAGCAACCGAAGCCGGGAGCAAAAAGCAACCTACACTGTAGTTTGCTTTGATGTAACATCTGCAAACCGGCTTAGGCTCTATCCACATCCGTGCACTGCGCATCCAAGAGCAGGGCTGCTGTCAGACTGAAGGTCTCGTCTCAGGCCGGAAAGAGTCGGATAGCGCCATCCTTGGCCGGCATGCTGCTAGCCTTTCTTTCTGCAAGCACAGATGGAACAATTAGTGAACAATTATGATGTTGACAAAGTCAAAACATGCACACGTGTGGATTTGGCCACCTCACCACTGCGGCTGCGGCCCTGGAACCACATCACCAGCGTACTGATCTTGGCGGCATCCCGCCACAAACTCCACGAGCAATAATAATGATAGAGGAACCGAACGCTGTGCAACGCTCAGAGACCAAGCTGGGGGAGCATCTGCTTTTGCACGCGTTGATCGATCTTTCTTGGTTGTCTTGTCTGGCGCAGTGTATTATGTAAATGCTTTGGACACACACACACACAGCAAACACACACACACACACCGAGATATGGCGAACTCGCACAGGCCTACATGCATTCATACATGCAGGTAGCCGTTGTGTACGTCGATTTGTCTTAAGCTAGATATCGCTCCCCTTTCAACCAGGCCGCTGCAGCTGAACTTCGGTCCGCTGATTTCACGTGCTGGTCGATGTGCAGTGTCCCACGGCGATTCTCTACTCAGTCCTCTCTCTTGTCATTGAATGCGTTCATGTATACACCGGCCCAAGTGCTTGTGCACTGTTTCTTTGCCTGTCTGGCTTCGGGCTACCTAGATATGGAAGCTATTTCAGCAAGTGAGTATGTCGTAGTTTGCCGTCCGGACAATCGAATGATTGGTTCCTCCTTACTACCTTCACCGCCCCACTAGCTCCGTCGGCGGCTCAGGGAAAACGAGATTCGGATCAAACGGTCCAGGCCGTCCCGCAAATGACATGGCGGCAGGCGGAGCTATTGCTTGCAGAGGGCGTGCGAAACAAAAGACGCAGTTAGAAGGCCATTGTTGGTTATGTTATGTTCTGCTGCGGACTAACGTGGACAACCAAATCTCTTGTAGGCGGCACAACTGATCCACAGAGCGGCTTGGGAAGCTCACTGCCAAGGTGACACTGAGCAACAAGGTCATCGACGAGAACGTTTCAATCTTCTAGTCCCTGCCTAGACCCAGACTAGAAAAAGCCCAACAACTGTATCTTCATTTGAAACTGTCTGGCCTCCCCCACATCTTCCAGCACCTGCGGAGGCAGACATGCGCCGCCGATGGTGCCTTGTCAGCAGCACCTCCTCTCCGTCGTGCAACATCACGAGCAGCTGCCCAAAGGCTTCCACGAACGGGTGGCGAGACACGAGGCCTCGGGGTCTCTTCCAGGTTGCCGCTTCAGGCGCGTCCTCCAACCCACCGGGTGCCCCCACAGTATGCCAGGCAGCGGCCACCCTGAGCCAGACTCGGAGTCTGATGCTTCTGCGCCTCATTTCTACATCGGGCCTCGATGAAGCGAACCGCGGTGCAGTACAGGAAGTCCTGTGAAAGGGCATCGTGTCACTTTCAGCTCGAGAATTCGGCCTTCGCCGGCACCGCTTGCAACCTGCTTTTCTCACACCGTCTCCAATTCAATCGACGGGCGGCCACTGCGTCCCTGGTGATCGGACCAGCACTACACAGCAGTACCGGATAGCTCGTGCAAGCACCGTCGGTTCCCGAGCGGCATTCGAAAAACGAGCTACCAGGAAGCTCAGGTCACGAAGTGGGCTTCCAAAAGTGCCGAGCTCGAAAAATCAGCGTCTGGAAAACAAGTCGACGACGAGTCTACGAACCGGAGATGTACAATCACCTTTTGCATCAAGCAGACTCAGTAGGCGGAAGATGGAAGGGACTCCAGAACTGCTGCGAAAGAGCTCGGCACGATGTCACGTGAGGTCGTAAATGTCGTAAGAGGGTGATACATACCCCGTGTGCCCACGGCCAATATAATCTGAGGAGTGTAGGGAAGTCAGGTAAGCAAAGACACGTCGCTTGGACAAGCCGCGGTGGGGCAACTCTAGAGGAACCCTAGACTAAAAGCCATGGAGGCTTTTAAAAGCAAAACACAGACTGTTGGCGGGCTCGAGAACTAAAAAGTCGGCTACCTTCCAGGAAGCCCTAAATTCCCGCCGGGCCCCGTCTCATCACATGCGGCGTGAGCCCCATCTGAATTGTGTCGGAGTTTCTTCGGCTTTAGGCTCTCTACACCTTTCAAAATCAAAGCCAGAATGCTTCGCTCTTTGGGCTGGTCGGCTCACTTGGCTCGCTCGCTTGGAAGTCGTCAACAGATGTGGATGGGGTTCGGTACGCAGCCATCTTGAGCTCCTTGGCCGAGGCCGGGTCAGGGCCAGCAGGGCCCGCAGGGCCCGCAAGGCCAGGGCCAGCAGGCAGGGACAAGCCGGGCGGGGGTCCCAGGTTGCTCTCACGCTTTGGAGGCATGGACAGCGTCGGCACCGTCGGAACCGGAACCGGCGGAACCAGCCCAAGATCCAAGTTCTTCAGCCCGCGAGCGGAAGTGTAGCCGTGCACACGCCCAGACGTGCTGGCCCAGGGACCAATGTTGCCGTAGGGGCTGAAGGGGCTGCAAGGGCTGCGAGGGCTCAGCGCTTCTGTCAAGGCGCTGCGTGGGCTCAGTACTGGGCTGACTGGTGCCGCAGGGAGGTTGCCCGCAACCTTAGCACTTAACAAGCCGAGCCTCGTCCATGCTATGATGCCCCAAAGAGACCCCCTACAAGCCCTACCACACACCATAGCATAGTCTTAGCTATCCACCTGGATTTTCATAGGCTCAAGCTCGTCCGCACGCTTCTCAGCCTTGGGGACAGTGCGAAGCTCTGCCTTGCCGTGTGCGAACTTGCAAGCCTCGCCCTTCTTGCACCGGCCCTTGGACGAGTACTGGAAGCACAGGCGTGTGGCGATCAAATCCGGCTGATTCCTCAACTCGAGTTCTGAGTGCGCGAAGTTGCACTCCTTGCCCAGCTTGCAGCGGTTTGAGCTCCAGTACTTGCAGATCCTGGTGTACTTCAGGGAGTCGCGAACCTGTGGTGTGCTCATTGCAAGGAGGCAGCAATGCGAGGTGATCTGAAGCAAACTCCAATCTCGAGACAAACTGCCCAGCTGTTGGTGAGCCGTGGAAAACACTCAAAAGAAAAGCTGGCAAGCAGAGCGATGCATCAAGCTGCTTCAGCCGGTAGACAGACAGGAGCGTGTGGCACATGCCTTTTTCTTCTAGCTCGCAGCTTCCCGTCTTTGCCACCACGAGCACTGTACGTCACACTCCTATCTGTGGAGCATCGCAGCGGCTAGACGAAGCATACTAAAGCTCTTCTAAGTGCAGTGCACATCTTCCGTCTAAGCACAAAGAAGTACCTGATAGTTCCTTGCTGTAGACTCTAGACATTCTCTAATAAATCTATCACGTGCTGCAAGGTGCAGGTTGCACATCAGGCCTACGACAATGCTAGAAACGAAAGAGCCTGTGCAAATCTGTATTTGCGCCTGGACCCTTGGCACATCGATCAAAAGCATAAGCACTCTGGCCCAGAGCCCATGAAAGGCGCTTGAGCTCGTGCCGGTTCCTTAACCGACACGCACGCCACGGAAAAGCAGA